ATCCAATCAAACAACAGATGGAGGAGTATCTTACCAACAATGATACATATGAACGACAAGAATCTCCATTTGGTAAGGCTATAAATCAAGCCATCGACATGCTAAATGTAACAAAAGTAGATATCAAACTTATAGAGCTAGAGTTTACCTATAAGGCAGGAGCAGATTTTATGCTGATGAGAGCACCAAGCTACTGGAGCCGATTAGGAAGTTCGAAAAACAGAACCGCAGAACAGACTGCCCAAAGCAAACAAATTGTACAAGAACTGATAGAAAGCTCAGATTCAACAGCTATTGCATTTACAGATGGGTCCTGTCAGGGAAATCCAGGACCATGTGGAGCAGGAGCAGTAATATATACTTACAACCACCAAGGAACAAGTTTAAAAAGACCAGTAGCTAGCAGAGGCCCAATAATCTTAGCTTAACTAGTAGCCATCCTTATGGTTTTGGAACACTGCATTTACACACTTAGAGAACAGTTCACTGAAGTAAAGATTCTATTAGATAGCCAGACAGCTGTTGGCATCTTGACTCTCAACTGGAAGTCAACTAACTACATTGACACTATCACAGACATTTAAGAAAGCATTGGGACCCTCCTGAGAGGCGGCATACAAACTACCCTATCTAGGATCCCAGGCCATGCTAATATAGCAGATAACAAGATAGCGTACCAGTTAGCAAACGATGCAGCGCAGGAGGCCTCAAGTCTAAATGACCAGTACAACGTCATAACAATGTCAGATGTGAGAAGTGCAGTTAAGAAGTCAACAAAACTAAAATGGCAAAATAGATGGACTAGAAGTGAAACTGGAAGACAACTACACGAATTAGTTCCTATTGTTGGTAAGGCCCATATACTAGATTATCCAAATCCAGTTATAGAGAGAATCATGTCAGAATTTAGAACAGGCTACAATAGACTAAACAAATACCGCCATCAGATAGGCCAATCCCTCACGCCATACTGCGAATGTGGTGAAGAAGAAAGCACAGAACACTTCCTACTTAATTGTATGAGATACCAGCAGGAAAGAGAAGAAATGAAAAGACAGCTGGAGATACAAAACATCCCAATAGATCTTCAGATCCTACTGGCACCAGCAAAGAAAGAGACATACGAGAGAACAGCGGATATAATAGAATATTTAAAGAGTTCAGGGCGATTTCAAGATACAGTTAGCCCTGAAGAATCCCGATCCTGCGCCTAAACAAATTAGCCTAAGTACAGTGTGACATTACTCGGAAAAACTATAGTACTAAGATGAAACAAGCAAACACAAAGAGACTAATTGCGTCAACGTATATATTGACCTTAGGATCAGGATCAGGACTGGTAAATGAGAGTGTAGTGGATTTTTCAATTGATGATGATGAATAATAGTATATACCATAGAAAAATTCAGTTTTGAAAGTATTTTGAAAATATGCTAGTAATGATTGTGCTCGAACATTTTGGATAAGATCTTTAGAATTTTAATAAATCAACATCACTGGTTAAGAATTCATCGTCACAATTTTATTTTAGTATCATCTTTTATTGTAGAAAGAATAGTTGTAAGGATTTAAGAAAGAGGTTTAGAACACTTAGATGACTCTGCTTATATATCTTTCTAAATAAGGATTTTTTTTCTATAAAGATTTTTATGCAGTTTTTTTCCAGTATAAAGACGATTCCAAAGGAGAGACGGGCGGATTTGTAACTTTCTAAGTTTTTCTTTTTTTTAACAATTAACGTATGTGGTCACACCATACAGCAAGATGTTCTTAGGAAGTTATCGATAACTAGCTTATTTCAAATGTATTATTTGGAACTAGTACTAGTATTAATATTATATAAGAAATAAAAGAATAGTGGGTCCATGGGACACAGAAGCCCCCGTTTGTGAATATGCAAGAGTCAATGTACTTGTTCAAAATATTGACGTTTTGTTTTCTTTGGACCTTAAAGGGGATTGACCCTGTATGTCATTCAAATCTTCTTGAAATGACGAACAGGAATATATATGGTTTTTTAGGGGTGGAAATCTTGACCGTTTACAAGTTCTCAAAAGGGGGGTGTGATCCCCAGAGGACTCGCCTTTTATTTCATTTGATTTGTTTTATTGTCCCATATAAGAATATATATGGTTTCGAGGTGGGGATCTTGACCGTTTACAAGTTTTCAAAAAAGAAAGGGGGTTGGGGTGACCCCTCTGGACTTCCCCTATATTTCATTTGATTTGTTTTATTGTCCATACAAGAATATATATGGTTTAGGGGATCTCGACCGTTTACAAGTTCTCAAACAGGAGGGGGGTGGTTGTGACCCCAGGGGACTCACCTTTTATTTCATTTGATTTTTTCTATTGTCCCATACAATATATATGGTTTCAGGGTGGGGATCTTGATAGTTTACAAGTTTTTCAAAAAGAAGGGGGGTGGGGGTGAACCCGGGGACTCCCCCAGTATTTCATTTGATTTGTTTTATTATCCCATGCAAGAATATATATGGTTTAGGGGTGGGGATCTCGACCGTTTACAAGATAAAAGCACATTCTCAAATTGAAGGGGGGTGGGGGTAAGAATATATATTGTTTTGGGAGATTTATTTATCTACAAAATGTCTGAATAATTAACAGTAAATTTCAAACCTCATTTATACAGTCCTTCTAATAAATTTCAAACTTTATATATACAGTCCTACAGATCTTATCAGGACACAGAAAATTTTCAAATAAATCTGTCACTCCAATGATTATCATATGCTAAGATATTTCCCAGATCTAATTAATAATGAAAATCATACTTGCAAATCTGAAGGGTTATTCTTTTGAACTGAACTATGGTTTAACATAGTACTCTAACATTACATATATAATAATTATAATGTAATTAACTTCAAAATGGCTTATAATATAGCTTATAATCTCACCACTTAGGAAATAGAAAATTTTCAAATAAATCTGTCACTCCAATTTTAATTTTGAAATAAGACATTTATTATGCTTAGTCATAATATGATAACAAGAGACAAATATTTAAAAATACCACTTTTGGATATTAAAAATGGTGATAACTCAAAAAGGATAAATACTGAAATAGTGAAAATTAAACTAGACCTTCATTTAGTCACAAGAAACAACATATCTAAATTTGAAAAAAAAATCATCATAGCTTTTTCAAGTTATTGAAGAGACACTTTGGCAGACGCCCGTTCACCCGCCCGCCCGCCCGCCATACACCCCCAAATCAATAACCGATATTTCCTTCGTAAATCCAGTTAATTAAATATGATTTAACCATAGACTCTAAAATTAGATATGATGTAAAGAGATATGATGTTATATTTATTTTTAAAATATAATCAGATAATAATAATTTTCTAATAAACCTGTCACTCCAATTATAATTGGGTGATTGCATGGAAAATTACCAGATGTGTATTATCTTATCATTTAGTGTATAAATCAAATTCAAACTTTATATATATATAGTTGATAGTTCCCAATATTTTTTCTTTCATTTGTAACATACTTATATAGATCTGCAACTTATCTTATTTTAATTTTAACTTTTTAACTTATAAATAATAGATTATTATCTAATGACTTTTCAAATCTGGAACCCCAAACAGGATCTAGTAAAAATTAAAATTAACATACACAACATGCCCGCCAGCCGTACATCCCCAAATTAATAACCGATATTTCCTTCGTAAATCCATTAATAAAAGTAAAATGTTTTTCAGATGTTTTGAAAGGTGATTTTGCCAAAGACTAAAGACATTTGCTTTTGATTTTATACAACAAATACATTTTTTTATAACTTTCTGACCACAAATGTTACAATTACTGAACTAAAATCTTATCTTATTTAGATCATAATCAAATTAAAGATTTATCTTATGTATTTAAGGATGTACTTAGGTCAGGTTTAGGAATTTTTGTCAGATGTTCAGACTCCTTGGTTTTTTCCTACGATACAGTGTATAATATTTTGCCCCATAACACCCATTTTTCTTATCATATAAGCTTAAGACTTCATTAGCTCATAAAACGTCATTTACCAAAATTTAAGCAGATTCTAGATTTCTTTTCTTTAGACCCAAATAATACCAATGCAAATATAAGGTAAAAGTCCGAGTCAGCCTATTCCCGCCATTTTAAAAAAATTAACTTAAATAGGAGCTCCATAACCTATCAATATTTTTAGCTTATTTTGCTCCTTAACTAATACTCTTCTGACTTATAGTATCAATTTTAAATTCTTGATTCTTTTAATTTCACCTAAGTACATCCTTAAGAATGATTCTTCTGCAATTATCTGTAATTATGATTACTAATGAAAAAAGTAAAATGTAATTGGTACTACTAATATTTTGCTGTTACTATAATGTATAGAGATTGTTTTTAAATTCAAAAGTAATTTCAAGTAGTTGATAGATTGATTTATTGTTTGTGTTTTAACACTGCTTTCAGCACTATTGGCTTTATCATGGTGACCAGCTTTTATTGGTGGAAAAAGTCGGAGTATCAGAGAACACCACAACTTTTGGCAGAAAAACTGGCAATCCTAGTCAATTTAGTAGAACACACCTGCCACGTGCAGGGCTTGAACTTGCAACTTCAGTATTACCAGGCTAGTGTAAAGTAGATGAACTACTTAGATCACTTGTTCACCGAGGCCCTTCAGGTATTTGACTTTGTGCTGATTATTTGTACTTATTATTCTGAAAGGGACTAAATCAGAAAACGTAGCTTTAAGTGTTGAACACAAGGCAGAAAAGTAACATATATTGCTTGCTTCAACCACGAACACTATATTAAAATCCACTTTAAAATAGTTCAAACTTAGGGATTACCCCTAACTGGGCCTTATTGAATCATGGGTCATACAGTAAAATGAAGATCATTATCAAAAGATGAGGCCATTTAACTCACATATGCTACAAAAACAATATAGAGCATAACCTTCAAGGAAAAAATATTAACTGGAGAAGAAACATCACTCAAAGCTACATTATTGGCATTTATTAGTAAGGCACAAACAATAAGCGTAACATTTAATATATCTTTCATTCAACAAACAAATCACTTGTATATCAAGCATACTAAAATCCAATATTTATAATATTGCACAAAAAAACAATGTTAACAGAAATACTATATATATAGCTAGGTATTATACCAGTCTAAAAATAGTAATGACAAAGTGCATGTTATAAGGAAAAATAAAATCCACACTCTAAAGCCAGCACTGTTCTTTATTGCCTGAAAAATATATAAAATTAAATATAGGACAGTAAGAAATAAGAGATTATATCCTGTAATACATTTTGTTCCTCCAATGTTTTAACTTTCAGTCCAGTCTACCGGAAGGGTAAAACCTATACTGCAATCGGTCACATTAATTTTTTTCTTGTGCTATCAATGATTTGTTGATTTATTGAAATAAGTTTTGCTCAGGTAATATAAACATCTTCATGTTGAGTATACCTTAGCTTTATAGGAATTCCATAAATGAAATGAAATCAAATTAAATGTTTGAAACATAATTTAATAGCATTATTTTTTACAGAGAAATCAGATATGTACTACAAGATATGGTGCCTATATTAGTAGATTTACTGTTTTCAAGAATAATCTTTATATAACTGTCAATGTTATGAGCAATGATGGTACTTGTTGTGAAAACTGTTTCAACAAAATTCCTTCATGAGTAGACATTTTGTTCAAAATTAGATGGGTTTGGTTTTAATACAAAAATTAAAAACTCAATTGTATTCATTTACTTTGTTATACTTGAGTTTAGTTTTCAGTGTTTGAAGATTAAGCAAATTCAGAAATATAATGTTTAATATCATTTCTTATCTTACCTCTCTTATTTCTTCATTTCCTTTAGTAATATTCTCTGTTGTACCCACTGTGGTCTGTTCAATACTGTCTATGTCTGTTTCCTGTAAAAACACATATTCACATCAGTACTTTTCAAACAAATATATGGGTCCATAGGAATCCATGCCCTGGTAGCACTATCGCATTTCCATTTTCAGTGACCTGCAAAATCTGGGTTAATCCCTAATTTTGCATATATTTAAAACAGTTCACAATATGTTGTCATCTTTTTAAAGAAAAAAAGCTTCAAAGGCTTCAAAATTGGCAAAAAAAAGAGCTTTAAATTTACTGGTATTTAAGTCACATTATAGATGTACTGTAATCAGCTGTGTATAATCCATATTGGTACATAATCCACATTACCTTTTTAAAATGTCCAGTTGGCAATTGTTTGCAGTATTTTCATGGAAAAACCTCTTTTCAATCATAAAGTTGAAGTTGAAATTAATTGTAAATGATTCTAGAAGTGAGTTAAAATTAAATAACTTGAAAAGTTGTGTTTGTCTTGAACGGGAAATAGTAAAGGAACGCATAAATAGCAAACAAATATGGTGAAAGTGAGCTGATATTTCGTACTTAATAGATATTACAAAATAACTAAACTTTGAAAGTCAAACAAGTGCAATCTTTAGAAGTATGCTGTTAAATTCATTCATCAAATTAATGTTTGAAGGACCTTTAGCTATAACAAAACACATTCAGCGGTATGAGACACCAAATCTGAACGAATGACCGATATTGTTTTGTAGTTTATACATCATTATGCAAATGAAAAGAAAGGACTAATCTGTGATGATGCATTTAATTTCGACATTTATCAGTAAATACTTGATTTTTAAATTAAACTTGTATTTCAATATAGATAAGGTAAATTATTAGAGTATTTAAATCAGCACCCATGCCAGTCAATTTTAATTTAAGAGTAATAGACTGCTGATAATACACGACTGAATTTGGTAGGTGAAAAATGAAGATGGCCTTGATATAAATATTTAACAGTCATCTTTAAGACAAAGGTTTATTGATCATTTCAATGTTTAACATTTTATTTCATTCTTTTGAATATTCCATGTATATTTGTATACGAATCCATCATACAATTTTGAAGATCTAGATTTCTTTCCATAAGTATAAGAAATGATAAGTATAAGAAATGATCTCTATTTTCTGAATTACAGAATGACAGCGGACATGCCATGTATTTGTGATAAGTTACATGGCCTACAACCAAGAAAGATGTAATAAAAGAAGTGTCTGAGGATACGAATGCCCCCGCTCAAGCTTTGCACTTTTCATAAGTTAAAAAGGGGCATCACTCTAGAACGGTAAATGACTCACAACACAAATTCAACCTCTGTCTGAATTTCATAAAATTTGGGTTTTAGGTTAGAGTGCAGAAATGAAAAATTTGCAATATTCCAAGTTATAAAGGGGCATAACTCTAGAACAGTAAGTGACTCACTACCCAAATTCGAACTCTGTCTGTGAATTTTGGTTATTAGCATTGTGTATCAGTTTAATAAAATTTGCATGAGGCAAACTTAAGTTAAGAGTGCGGAAACAAAAATTGGACAGATGGACGAAAAAACGGACAGACAGAAGGAAGGGAGGATGGAAGGATGGACGACAGAAAGACTGACGGTCAAGGGGTTACACTTAATGACCCTGTTGCCTACGGCAGAGACATAAATAGACAAGACAGAATATCTAAGATGGATTATAATTTGTGTAAGGACTATAGTGTTACTTTCAGATGATATTTATATATATAAATGTATAATAACCGAAAAATATATCATGTTAAAGTCAGAGAAACTGTCTTATTTACATTTACCACAAGCCATTTATTTTTTCAAACAAATTTCAGAAACTGAAGGTTGACTTCAAAAAACCGTTTTTGTTGTCTTTTTTTTAATGAGTGATTTTATTGAGTTGCTCTCAATGACATTTATTGAACATCTCCTGTTTGTTCATTTTCAAAGAAACTTCTAACAACTAAGACAAAAAATCTACCTGTTCTAATACTTTTTCAGCAAAAATTTCCTGTAACTTAGCTATTTCTAAAACTTTCCCTTCTATCTGGCTGAAAAAAATAGGCATATAAATAATTAAAAATGTAAGAAATGTAGTAAGTGTAGTGGCTGCTAGTTACTGAATTAATCTAGTCAACACGTCTTGGAGTAATGAATTCATTACAGAGCATGTTAGATTGTGTTATTTTTATTAATACTTGGCAGTGGTGTTATGTGGACAGTATTCTAAGCTCAAGCCTGTAGTCTATTTTTTTTTACCTACTTTGGCCAACAACAACAAATGTTTTGTTTGTCATTGACCTTTTTTCTTTGGTAGTTTATTGTCGTAAACAATAAGTTTGAACAATATTCTTCTTCAAACCACTGCCTTCAACATATGGTTACTTTTAAATTGTATGTTTTTATAGGCGAACACTAACAGTCTCACAGATACTGGTAACCAAAATAAAAATCATTTAAAATCTAAAGACCTATTACATGTTAACCAGTCAAGATGAGGTAACTTGTATCAACATCATCATCACAAAGAAAAGAAAACTACTTTATTGTGCCTGTCCCATATCAAGAGCCTAGTCATCATGGTCAGTACTTGTTGTATGTCATATCTTTGTTATTTGGAGAATTAGGTTTTAATAGCAGATCTTTCATTGTTTCAGTTGCTTATTGTTGAAATCTGTATGTTGCCATATAGATGTCTTTTGGTGTTTTTTTTATTAATTTGCTGTCTCATTGATGCATACACCACATCTCCTTTTATTCATATTCAGAAATAATGAAAAACAAACTTTTCTATATTAGATAATTCTTTGCATATAAAAGTGAAAATATTATAAATTTTTTTCAAAAACTGAAATAAAATTTATATGAATATTAACCAGGCTCTGTCCTTAGGCCAATTGGACCTTTAATAAACAATTAAACTTTAAACCAAATTGCGATAAGTTTTTCTCAAGGTGTACACTTGAGAAAGGAGAGATATCTCTTTAAATCAGCAATGGGTTTATAATATTGTAAATCTTGATACTTATTTTCACAATAACATATCATTCTAGCTAAATTTGCTTATCAATGATAAATTTTCTCTTCAAATTAACAATGTTGCTTTCTACAACCTTTTCAAAAGGGGTATATTTCGCATATTTATGTGATTGCGAAATAAGCAAAAGTAACTCATGCATAAATATTTTTTAAATTGCAGAAGTCACCTTTATCAATACTTTTTAAGCATTCCTATGGTACAGAGCTAAAATAATTTTTTTTCACCCACTTCATTTGAACTCTGGTGGAAAGTTGTCTCATTGGCAATAATACCACTTCTCCTTATTTCTATTTTGTATGATACCGAGGAAAAATACTCTTTCGTATGGTAAAGAGGAAATCTCATCTGTGTTACTTAACAGCAAAGAAGATTTTTATGAGTATTGTTGACACAGACATATCAGGCATTTTTAAAAACTACCTCCCATATAAAGCTAGTTCTACCTTTTAAAGGAATAGCATCATAAACATAAGATACACACATTTTGGACAATAGTTGTTAACATATGAAATAGCTAGAATTCGTAGAATAAAACAACATTTTACTTGTGTATGTGCAAGACTGTTGTTAGATCTTATGGCTTCAATTTCTTATTCTCACCTTACTTCGCTAACCAAACTGTTCAGTTCATTGAATAACTCTGCATTTTCTTGCTCAAACTAAAAAAACAGAAATATTAGAACTTCATGCATACTCGATTTTATACTTGTTTTTTGCTGTCTATTCATATGCATTTTTTCTATAACAGGTATTTCTTAAAAAAAAATTTAAAATGTGACTCAAAGATATTTTTTGCATAGAGCTGTTGCTAATTTCTAATGTCACCAAAAACCTTATGAAAAGCATCCATTTTTATTCAAATTAAAGAATGAAACGTTCATGATGTGGCAGTGACAACAAGAATGCATGTGTTGTCGTGCTAAGCTTACTTCACCAGTAATTCAAAGTATCGGAAAATAGGATACAGGTGTCTGACCCTTCAGAAAAGCACAAACACATTGCAACTCATCAATGTTGAGATGCTGACCAAATGTGAAGTCATTCTGTTCAGTAGTATTGGAGAAATGTGTTACCATCAAAATTTTAAGTTCATTCAAAATATTGAAAATTCATCATATCGGAAAACATGAAGTAGGTATCTGAGAAATCCTAAAAGTGCATATACCTTATAACTCATTTTGTTAAAAAATCAGACAAGTGTGAAGCAAATATTTGTGAACTGAAAGAGATTTCAATATTGCCCTGATAATAATTTTCCAATAAATCCAGCATGTCAAAAGAGTTATTTTGCAGAATATTAGGTTCAATTATAAATTTTCACCAACTTAATAGGCCTTTAAGAATGTAATACTGACCTATATTTGCACCCTCCTAAGTGATATCAAAAAGTGAACTTACTCCTATCATTATGTTCATTTATCAACAATCTAAACATTATTTGAAAGGATTGACCAATTTTTCTTTTTGGGGAATTTCCAGGGCAAAAAATTGTTTTCAAACTTCATCATTTGTCTGCTCTGTACTCAATTAATAAAACAAAATGAATAAAAGTATGTGTCCATAGGATACCATGATGGCCTCACAAAATAACATTTCCATGTTCAGTAAACCCCAAAATATGGGTAAACCCTAATTGGCATACATCTTATAAAGTTCACAATATATGAATATACATACTAAGTTTCAGGTTGATGTGACTACAACTTCATAATACACTACCTCAAACTAAAACTTTAACCTGATAAAGGGCACATACAGACCAAAAACATAATGCCTCCTTTAAGCAGGGTATAAAAACAAAAAAAATCCTACCATTTGAGCTTCTTCAGGTGAAAAACTGTCATCTTTGACTGGTGAAGTGTGATCTATATCAATGTTTGATGGTCGGGCAGGAACAGCATCTGTAAAATTTAAAAAGCAACTTTTTGCATCATTTTTTAAATACCTTTCAGTATGAAATTATTTTCTTATAGTGTTATGGATGTGATGGTATAATTTCTAGAAACAAAATGGTATTTCATAATTTCCTGTTTACCAAGATGATATAAGAAATTTCTATGGAGAACACTGGATAATTTATGACAAACTTGAAAAACACAAAAAAATTACAAAATAAATGTAACTTTAAATAAAGCAAAACAGTTATGTTTGAGTCGCACATATATTTACAAACACACAAGTATGGTGTATATATAGGCAATAGTATCTTTCGTCATGAGGCAAACAAAGGTACATACAAACCACATGTTTGCTACTGAAACTGACTTTTATTGGATTTTATTTTTAAAATAAAGGATATACAGGGGTACTCATTTTATGTATGCATAAAGGCTCCTACATTGCTAATGAGAATGGTTGTTATAATATCTTAAATTTCAGAGTTGATCTTAGAAGTTGACAATAAGTATTATGATGCAATGTGATGTGTAATGCCTATTTAGATTGGATAACATCCTGCCGTGGGCAGTATGAGCCAATTCACTAACTGATGTTGCAACCCTTCAAACACAGTACTGTTATTTCTTAATTTATAATTTTGTGGTACACAACACATGTATGGCAATTCTGTACTTCTGACAGTTTATATTTTGTTGAATTGTGTCTCATTTTATTCTGTTTAAACTTAATGTTGTCCCTTCAAATAAACAAAGATGCTAAAGAAGAATCTATAAACTTAGTTTAACAAGAATATTTGTCAAACAAGAATGTCCTGCTTGCATTATCCCATCTCCATGTTAAGTGAACTGCAAAATCTGAGTCAAAACCCTAATTTGGCATAGGTATTAAAAAGTTCCTCCTATATTTTTAAGTTGATGTGACCAGGCAATTTTATGGTAAACTATCCTGATAAAAAACATTTACTTGATACGGGACAGAGAAACAAACATAAGCACTGATCATAAAACATAATGCCCTCTACAATCTTAAGCAGGGCATAAAAACATTATTTATCTTAGTAAACTAGATTCATTATTACTGATCTGATGATTCAAGACTTTCCAACTAATTTTTACAGTTTGTTATTATGTTGTGCTATTACACCACTGTCAAATGTTTGGTGGAGAGCTGAGCAAACATGTTTAATCCCGCCATATTCTTTATGAACCAGTCCAAAACTAGGAGCCTGTAGTCCAGTGATTGCTGTTTGATGCCTTTAGTCAAACTTGTTTTTTTTTTCCTTTAATGTTATTGGCTTAATTAGTTATCAAAGGTACCAGGATTATAATTTAATATGCCAGACGCACATTTCGTTTAAATCAGGCTGTTAATTTTCCTACATTTCCATATCTGGAGTCTAATTTAGTTAACTATACTCTATAGGTTTTGATCATTGTTAAAGCTCATGCTAGGGGTCTTATTAAACTTGCCGTGAGGTGAGAGTATTTTTGCCTTGTGTTGAAGGCCTCACTGTGACTTTGAGATGAAGATCAACAATAAAAGCTCTGTTCCTTTGCTTTTTGTGTGTTTTTTGCTGAGCATGCACTGATGTTGTGTCATGGATGGATATCCTTTGTTTTCCTATCATACATTAAACTGGAGTTGTTTTCATCCTTGTTCTTGGTATTTTATTGGATATTTGTTTCATTTGCAATCATAACACATCTTCTTATTTTCATATTAAAACTGTTGTAAATCATAAAATAACTTTACATCACAAATTTTTTAAATACAGACAATTAATTTTATAGGAAGCTACATAATGCCATCATGGTATACATTTATAACCTTGCATATAACCTCTTTTTAGAAAGCTCTTTGATTAAATCATAAAATTATAAATTTGTTGAATTTGCCTGCTTTATTCAATTTTTGGATTAAAGACACATGTTTTACCTATAGAAGAATTAGATTTGTCACCCTCTTCTAAATCAGCTTTTGTATTAATTTTTCTTTGTTTTGCTTTTCTTTCTGGTGCCAATTTAGATCTGCAAAAATAAATTTTCATACAATAACATATAATTTGTTATGATGTGAAAATTACAAGATGGATAAGCTATAAAATTAATGCATTACTCTCTTTGACAATAATAACATCCATTTTTCAAACCTTTCAATCATTGTTTCAGATAACCCACTATTGATGTTATTGTTTTCAGACCATGTTATAATTTGTGACAATAACACCCATTGCTTACCATACATTGTTATCAAAAGGCCTAGCATCCATAAATTTTAGCAAAGGATACAGAACCTGCAGAAGATATAATCAATTACTATAAATTCTGAAATTTTTGCAACATTTTTATCATTGTAAAAGTAGCTACAAGATGGGCGTTTAAATTTTTTTTTTAAATGTGACAGCAGTATTATTATGCAGCATTTCCTAATATCACAATAATTAATCTTGAATTTGTGCCCATGTCCAATAATTGCAAAAATAAATGCACACAATAATTTCTGAATTAACAGCAACGAATGCAATTTATCAGTGAAAACAAGAGTATGTCAGATTGACAGCAAACAGGATTTTCCTGCATGAAAATGATATTTGCAATTCTGGACCCCAAACAGGATCAAATAAAAAATAAATGAATTTTTGTAGGGTCCAGAAATGGAAATGCCAAATCAATCTAGTATCACTTTTTACTACTTAAGGTCAACAACTCAACAATGACAAAAGCTAAAATTGGAAAATCAAACTCGACCTTCATTTAGTTACAGGAACAGCATATCTAAATTTGAAAAGATTTCGTCAAAGTGTTTTAAAGTTATTACACAGGGAACGATCTAAGTATCACTTTTCCCTACTTAAAGGTCTACAACTCAACAACGATAAAAGCTAAAATTGTGAAAATCAAACTTGACCTTCATTTTGTTACAGGAAACAACAAATACAAATTTGAAAAGATTTCATCAAAGAGTTTTCAAGTCATTGCACGGACAACGCTCTAAGTATCACTTTTCGCTACATAAAGGTCTACAACTCAACAACGATAAAAGCTAAAATCATGAAAATCAAACTTGACCATCATTTAGTCACAGGAAACAACATATATAAATTTGAAATGATTTCGTCAAAGTGTTTTCAAGTTATTGTACGGACACTGTTTGGCAGCCGCCCAACCGTCCTGCCGCTGTTCAACACCAAATCCAGTTAAAAATGATTTCAGTATAATACAAACTTTAATTAGCTTCTGACATACCAGAAGTCCTGGATAGTATTTTTTTAATATATATTGTAGTCTTTGTTCTATGATTACTTATCAATGTATTAATGTTACACCATTGTCTGAGGTTAAGGAGGGTTGAGTACTCACATACTTGTTTAAACGTGTCATATTCTGTATGTGCCTCTCCTAAGACAGATTCCTGTAATCTAGTGGTTGTCGTTAGTAATAAATTACTAGGTGACATATTTATATTTCGTTAATTGGTTTTTACTTTGTTTATTGTTTTAATATAAGTCTTCTCCTTTGAATTATTTCACATTTTGTCATCCCAGGGCATGTTATTTTTTAATACGGTGTGGGTTAACCTCAATGCTGAATATAATATTGTAACCTCTATGGTGGATAGAAATCTCACTGGAAATCAAACCACAACTCATTAGTTGACCACCTGTAAGACTGATTGATGGTCTATTACATATCACCTGTCTGTGGGCTGTATGTTTATAATACACACCATTGATCAGAAGTAAAAAATTAAAATTTTATCATCAGAATTTTCCATTTTATTTTATTTTCATGTTGGAGTACAATGTAGCTGTATGAATATTTTATTTTCATGTTGGAGTACAATGTAGCTGTATGAATATTTTATTTTCATGTTGAAATAAAATGTAGCTGTATGAATATTTTTATAACAAATTAAAACTATGAAAGTTACCATTATGGTAATGAAAAGCAAATTTTTTTTTTTTAAGATAATTTCTAGGTCCCATAGGTCATCATCAACTGATTTTTTTTTCACTCTTATGAATAGACAGGTATGACTAAATAAAATAAGCATTAAAAAATTACTTACATTCGTTTTTTATCAACAACTCTTTTTACTCTCACAGCCTTTTGCTCACTGTATACCTTGCATACAACTGAAACAGTTCATTCACAATCATGTCATACATTGTAAAGGAACCTATATGAAATGAATTATTTTTTTCATCCATATTAATAATACAAGCCCTCCCTTGGTGCTTTTCAAAGTTTCATTAAATGACCGTTTCTTTTTAGTAACCAGAAACCAGTATTAAGCAAAGAAAATATTCTTACACTCGGGTGCTTGTTAGCATAATTAATTTAAATGTCTTGTTCTTTACTAGTTTAGCAATAAAGCTGATGTTTACAAAACAGATGTTGTAATGTTTACTGTGATGTCCTACTATATTTATCTTACTTTGTTTATAAAGATATTAAAAAAATTAATAAAATATGCAATTATACAGTGACCTATAGTGCTTACATCCACATCATTGGATAGTTGTCTCACTGGCAATCATACCACATCTCCTTATTATTTTAAGGCAAGGCACTTTCTATATGCTGATAGAAGTAGCGGAATAAAAACAGGTTTTTTTATTCAATAAAAACTTGTAATCAATTGCTTCAACAGATTATGATTCTCAAATGTTCAAACCATATCTCTTTTTTTGAATCTGCGACATTTGACCTGAGATTTTTAACACTTAAACTATTCGCACTTTCATTGTTGCATCAGACATTTTCTCTTATGACATCAAAATGTTATGGGAATGTCTGTAATGGCCAGTAATGGCAGACAAATAGCTATAAGGAGTAAAGAACAACATAAACACTATTTTTTTATTAGCCGAAAAATGCTTACCTTTGAGATAATCTTCTATAATTCTAATGACGTGATCTCTGTGTTCCTTCACTTGAGGGTGCACAATCTGATGATAAATGCTTACCTTTAAGATAATCTTCTATAATTCTAATGACGTTTTCTCTGTGTTCCTTCACTTGAGGGTGCACAATCTGATGATAAATGCTTACCTTTGAGATAATCTTCTATAATTCTAATGACATGATCTCTGTGTTCCTTCACTTGAGGGTGCACAATCTGATGATAAATGCTTACCTTTAAGATAATCTTCTATAATTCTAATGACGTGATCTCTGTGTTCCTTCACTTGAAGATGCACAATCTGATGATAAATGCTTACCTTTGAGATAATCTTCTATAATTCTAATGACATGATCTCTGTGTTCCTTCACTTGAGGATGCACAATCTGATGATAAATGCTTACCTTTGAGATAATCTTCTATAATTCTAATGACGTGATCTCTGTGTTCCTTCACTTGAAGATGCACAATCTGATGATAAATGCTTACCTTTGAGATAATCTTCTATAATTATAATGACGTGATCTCTGTGTTCCTTTGACGTGATCTCTGTGTTCCTTCACTTTAGGATGCACAATCTGAAGATAAATGCTTACCTTTGAGATAATCTTCTATAATTCTAATGACGTGATCTCTGTGTTCCTTCATTTGAGGGTGCACAATCTGATGATAAATGCTTACCTTTGAGATAATCTTCTATAATTCTAATGACGTGATCTCTGTGTTCCTTTGACGTGATCTCTGTGTTCCTTCACTTGAGGATGCACAATCTGATGATAAATGCTTACCTTTGAGATAATCTTCTATAATTATAATGACGTGATCTCTGTGTTCCTTCATTTGAGGGTGCACAATCTGATGATAAATGCTTACCTTTGAGATAATCTTCTATAATTCTAATGACGTGATCTCTGTGTTCCTTCACTTGAGGGTGCACAATCTGATGATAAATGCTTACCTTTGAGATAATCTTCTATAATTCTAATGACGTGATCTCTGTGTTCCTTCACTTGAGGGTGCACAATCTGATGATAAATGCTTACCTTTGAGATAATCTTCTATAATTCTAATGACGTGATCTCTGTGTTCCTTTGACGTGATCTCTGTGTTCCTTCACTTGAGGATGCACAATCTGATGATAAATGCTTACCTTTGAGATAATCTTCTATAATTATAATGACGTGATCTCTGTGTTCCTTCATTTGAGGGTGCACAATCTGATGATAAATGCTTACCTTTGAGATAATCTTCTATAATTCTAATGACGTGATCTCTGTGTTCCTTCATTTGAGGGTGCACAATCTGATGATAAATGCTTACCTTTGAGATAATCTTCTATAATTCTAATGACGTGATCTCTGTGTTCCTTTGACGTGATCTCTGTGTTCCTTCACTTGAGGATGCACAATCTGATGATAAATGCTTACCTTTAAGATAATCTTCTATAATTCTAATGACGTGATCTCTGTGTTCCTTCACTTGAAGATGCACAATCTGATGATAAATGCTTACCTTTGAGATAATCTTCTATAATTCTAATGACGTGATCTCTGTGTTCCTTCACTTGAAGATGCACAATCTGATGATAAATGCTTACCTTTGAGATAATCTTCTATAATTCTAATGACGTGATCTCTGTGTTCCTTCACTTGAGGATGCACAATTTGATGATAAATGCTTACCTTTGAGATAATCTTCTATAATTCTAATGACGTGATCTCTGTGTTCCTTCACTTGAGGGTGCACAATCTGATGATAAATGCTTACCTTTGAGATAATCTTCTATAATTCTAATGACGTGATCTCTGTGTTCCTTCACTTGAGGGTGCACAATCTGATGATAAATGCTTACCTTTAAGATAATCTTTTATAATACTAATGACGTGATCTCTGTGTTCCTTCACTTGAAGATGCACAATCTGATGATAAATGCTTACCTTTGAGATAATCTTCTATAATTCTAATGACGTGATCTCTGTGTTCCTTCACTTGAGGATGCACAATCTGAAGATAAATGCTTACCTTTGAGATAATCTTCTATAATTCTAATGACGTGATCTCTGTGTTCCTTCATTTGAGGGTGCACAATCTGATGATAAATGCTTACCTTTGAGATAATCTTCTATAATTCTAATGACGTGATCTCTGTGTTCCTTTGACGTGATCTCTGTGTTCCTTCACTTGAGGATGCACAATCTGATGATAAATGCTTACCTTTGAGATAATCTTCTATAATTATAATGACGTGATCTCTGTGTTCCTTCACTTGAGGGTGCATAATCTGATGATAAATGCTTACCTTTGAGATAATCTTCTATAATTCTAATGACGTGATCTCTGTGTTCCTTCACTTGAGGGTGCACAATCTGATGATAAATGCTTACCTTTGAGATAATCTTCTATAATTCTAATGACGTGATCTCTGTGTTCCTTCACTTGAGGATGAACAATCTGATGATGGGCTGTATGTACATGTAAATAAAGAACAACTGTTTATTAATTGTACAATAGCTCACAAGTCAGGTAACACATAACTCTGGCTGTTTAGATTTCCTCTGTATTTCTTTCTATTCAAATTAAGACTACAGTCTTCCTCATCGCTGTCTTTTAATAAAGGACTAAATTCCATTTTGTAGAAATCATGAATTTTCAAACTTTGCTGAATGACTAACAATAAAATGTAAAGTACATGAAGTATGCTAAGCGAAAGACAGAGTTTTACACACTGATAAATCCTTGTAAGAACTTCTTATTCCTTATAATTTCATTTAAAACCATAAAAACTTTGTCAAAATCTGTGATTCAGAGACATGGTCATTTTGATTCTATCAGTATTTCTTAAAGTAAAATATACAACAACAAAACAAAGCAGCCATACCTTTTAATACACAAAAATCTTACATTGTTTGGACTTAAGCTTTAGCTATAGAGTTGATAATGGATACTAATGTTTCACTTTTATATTTTCATCAATGGTGCTGGTGTTGTTAACAAAGTGAAATTGTAATGCTAATTGGGATATTATCTAACATCTTTTTTTAATTTTTTTCAACGATTATATCAATTTATTAATTATTCCTTAAATTAAATTTTTAATACCATGAATACCTAACAATTAACTTACAAGCTAACATCCAGTTGAAATTAAACAAAAGAAATGGAAAGGTATAAATGGTTGAGTTGGTATATTTGAATTGTTTACATCTGTTTCTATATGGGCTTTTTAAAATTTAAATATAGGTGCATAATTTAGGATTTTATGCATCTTATATATGTGTGTATAGTTTTAAAATTATAACATGGAGCTTTGAGATATTTGAAAACTTTTCAAGTAAAGAAAAATTTTCACAAAACAGTCGATCATGGTAGGTGCAAATACATGTGAGTCTTTTTTGTGCATAATCATACATCCTCCGAAAAAAATTCCACAGAAAAATAAAAGATTGATCTTTTTAAAGCATTAATTTGCATTTCTGCCCCCAGCAACAGTTTTTTGGGAAAAAATCCTAAAATGGGCAATAATCTCATCTAAAAGAGAAAGTCAGGTACACCTTTTTATGTTCAGGAGGTTTGAGTTGATTGTTTTGCCTTGAAAACATATAAAGCAAACATATTTGATACACCATCTTGCTTCAGATTCCATTATTTTAATATATTTAGGCTATGTATTCATATAATAACACTAAAAATTCACAGTACCAAGAAATAACGTAAATAACGGGTCAAGTGAAATACCTTTCTAATGAGTCATAACATATGTGTATTTGAATAACAAAAATTAAGGCTTATTGCTACTGCAACTGTTTAAATTTGAATTTCTTACTAGTATTATATTTTATTTTTGTTCACTCATTTTTTAATTAAAAATTAGTAATATTAATTATTTTATTCATGAAATGTATTGAAAAAAAGAAAAGTCGGACACACCGTGCACTAACACCCCCTTAAATTTTTACTGACTTTACAAGTGGATCTTAAAAATTCATAACTTATCTAGGGTAAATCATCTTCAACCACTGAAAATTTTTAGTCTGGCCTTCCATGAAATATTTAATGTCTTTTGAATTTTTTTAAATTAACCATGACAACCGATCAGACAATTTTTAAGTTGACAAAAGCATAAAGTAATTTACATGTTGTTTGTACATGATACTTAATAGCTAGTAGATACATTTGTCTTTTAAATTACAACTGTCATGTAAGAATGGTAACGATTCCATGTGGATAAAGGACAGGGTTCACTTAAGGCCATATCTGGCCTTAAAATTCAACTTTTTCCAAAAATATCAAAATGGCCATAATTTGGTTCTTAAATGGATCTAAATCAAAAGCCTTACTACATTTACTACTAGGTTAAACAAATCTCTTCATTAGAGTACATTTTAAGCTTGAAAGTCAGCACATTTTGGATATGTCAAAAAAAACGATGATTTTGTGCATTTTTTTTTAATACCTAAAAGCTTAAGGTAACCCTTGGCCGCAACCTAGGAACCAAAATGTTATGTAGCCAAAAGTTGCCAATGATGATATTGAATCCCTAGACACACAAACTTTCAGGATCAGGATGGCGGCCAAGGTAAATTATGTTAAAAAGTGTTAAGAATTATTGAAAATATGACCAAAACTAACGTTACAACACAAATAATGCATATTTGAGAGGCCATTTCTTCTGTCATTTTTAATGTGATATGCCAAAAAGAAGTTAGTTTGTACTAATAGTTATATCACAATTATTTCTATGTGAAATTTGTAGAATTTTGGCCAGATTAAAAAAAACATAAAATTTTTAGAGCCAACTTTAACCCTTTGTGAACTTAGTCCTTTATTGGTTTTCAAGAGCTAAACTGACAGCGTGTCATCCCTACAATGCTTTCCATTTGAAAAAAATAGTTGGCTAATGAGGAGATAACTTTGACGAAGTAGAATCCTGTATATAGAATGACTGTTAGAATGATATTTTTTCTTCACAATTTTCATCCTCAAATAGATATTTCTACATACACTTTTCATTATTTAATTTCTTGTCTTATCCTACATACTAAAAAAGATAATCTATAAAACTAGGAAGCACATCTTATTTTTCCTAATGACAACTTCCCTATATTGCATGTTTTACAGATTTTACAGAAAAGGCATATGTAACACTGACTCCTAACTCATGGCTCTGAACTGATACAGTGTTTCAGCTAGGCACTGGTCAAAGGACATTTGTCCATCTTCATTGAAAATTTAAGTAATTTTCTTAAAGAATGTCCTTCAGGTTTTTTTTTTTTTTATAAAAATGGAAATTGACTTAGAGTTCCTGTAGTCTCTAGCTGAATCACTGATGATATTTACATGTCAGTCTGTCTGGTCTCTTAAAATTTGCTAAAATGTATGTTTCAGTTGAAATAGTTAATATAGTAGTATATATCTTTATAACATTGTACATTGCAATTACAAATGGTATCATTTATGACAATAATTCCATTCTATTACCATCCTTTTTAAACATAACAATGGTCTGTTGACATTTCTTGATGACAGTCTGAGCTTCTGTGTCAATCTGATCTCTTTCTGTGTCAGTTAGTGATGATACATCTGAGGACAAGAAACTGAAAAATAAACAATAACTTGTTACATATATATTTAAAAAAAAAAAAACAGTTTTGTTACATTCATCATATTTAAGAGAATGTGAATAAAAGGATATATATTTGGGGTATACATCAATGACTATGTCTATTACACAAGTAAAGTTGACTTTCCTTAACTCAAAATTTCTGTTATTGCAAAGAAAATGTCTATCTCACTTGCCAGATTTTCATCATATTTTTACCTGTGACAAGTCTGCAAATACTTTGTACACAAACAGTGTGACCCAATAGTTGCACACACGCCTGTACATTTTTTGTACATAATAAAGTTGGCTCATTAGTATAGTATTATATGTCTGATTAAACCATGGCCAAAATTTTCTTTAATTATGACCTAGTTAGTGCATGATGTCGGGTTTCAAACTATAGTATCTGTGAAGGGGACGGACATATGTACATATCACATGACCCAGTTAGTTCACGTAGAATGTTAAAGTTTATTTGCAATTAATTGCAATCTATTCTATTTAATAAATAAAATGTATGACTGTACCTTCAAACTGGATATCTATAATCCACGATTAATGAATAACAGAAGTAATCTTGCAAATTTAATCCATAAGCACATGTTAAATCTATTTATATCTACTTCCTGTCATTTAGGCGGGAAATATAGGGAGACTTTGTTGTTGACATTGAATATGGTTACTTATAGACCATTATTGTATGAATCATTTTACCAAGCTGTCCACACGCGTGTAACCCTGGTGCTATCCAGAAATCCTGGGGAGAACACTGTGGAGTTAAATAAAATTTGTCTTATCTAATTACCTTCCTGCATTTACATAATCCTTTCTGTGCTTCAGTAAAAAATCCTTCAGCTGTGTAATGGTTGATACCTATTAAAGTAGAAAATTAAAACTGTTTAAAACTGTTCAATGTGGTCTTTAATCGAAACATTTCAGGTATTATCAGAATTATTTTACACAAAATTCTAAAATACCTTTAAAAGTTCAAATTAATAAAGATTATACATCATGTACATGTTATATGAACAATGAAAGTAAAAAAATGACATCAACATATTGAAAATTTAACAAGTCACAGAACGAGGAGAACTGTTATTGTGGTTGATATTTCTTTATTGTTTCAGAAAGTATAATTTTAAAATCTAAATGATTTCTAGATATAGTATTGCAGTTATTATCTAAACACTTTTTGTGATCTTTTAGAAATATGATTTTAATCACAAACTTTAACATTTTCAATGAAATCATGAGAAGACACATGATATCACAAGATTTTATTAATTTGTGTTATTTGCCAACCTCTTTTATCATGTGTAATATGTGACATATATGTGTCTGTATCAACATAGCCATTTTTGTCAAATAATTATAATGAACCTTAATCATAGACACAAGTCAGAATTCTAACTAAGATGATTGATCATGAAAATCTGTCTGGCCTCATCAATTTTCTGAACTGGTAAACTTGAGTCAAAAGAAGCTGCAGAACCATATATAGCTCTTGTTGCACCTGGGATAATTTTGTGTATTTGTGGACCATAAACTTCCACAGTCCTCAAAACACCTTAATGGTTATTTAGTGAAAAACCTTAACTCAACTGTGACTTTCTGTCCTTCATTCAAGAGATGAATGATCATTCCCTTACCAGCAGTCTCATTAATTCTCGACGAGTTAAGTATTTTAGCCACAAGAAGCAACAAGAAGACAAATTTAGCATCAAGAAAGTTCTTATACTATTAAACAAAATAGCTTTAGAAAAAAAGTTGATAAATTACATACAATTATTAGTTGTAACACCATTGTTTATTAGGGAGCAACCATTTAACTTCAAGGGGAGGGGTGGGGGGGGGGGGGTATATATGGTTTTTTCTCTGAGTCAGAAATTTTTTATCTCGCAAAGCGCGAACATTTTAGTTTTAGTTTTTCAATTCTATCAATCAAATTATTTTTTTCAAAATTTACACTACAAGGTTTGGGGAATATCTGGATTCAGAATATTTTTTTTTGTCATCTGCATGACCACAATATTTTTTTCCATCAAATTGGGGATCAGAATATTTTTTTAGGAAAAAACCATAAACCCCCCCCCCCTTTGAAGTTAAATGGTCGTTCCCTTAAAAACATGATAAATAAATTGAAACAAAGTGAATCTGTGAGCTACTGCTCACTAATGATACCCCCGCCCTGCTAAAAGTATAAGACAAACAGGAAGTTGTTGAGTGATGAATCTGAAATCACATTACACCGTATAGCTGACTCATATAAACCCTGAAACCAAATTTCAGAAATCCTTGTAATGTAGTTCCCGAGAAAGATGCGACGAAAAATATTCATGGGACGGACAGACGGACTGACGGATGCACTGACAGATGGACTGACGGATGGACGGAATGATGGATGGACGGACAGACAGACAGAGGTAAAACAGTATACCCCACTTTTTTAAAGCGGGGGGTATAATAAACCACATCCTTATGGGGTCTGGAAACACACTTATATGATGAAAATTACAAACCGTGGCAGAGAGTTCTACAAACGTAGCACCATATTATACTAATTGTTACAAAACCAGAGCATTATGTGAAGTAGCTGCAGAACTGTAGCTCTTAGGTCCTTCATATAAGAGCTACGGTTCCACAGCTACATGTGAAGCATATCGAAGTTTTCCATCTGAATATATAATAGTGTAATAAAATTTTGAAAATCATTTAAAATACAATGAAATACATCTAGATAAAAAAAAAACTTTTATAGCCCATGACTTCATCACAAGTCTCTATCATGTCTATATCTATTTATTTGAAATAATTAATAGATTTCTTGACGCTAAATTTCTATTTTTATTTTTTTTTTTTCATTTTTCGACACTTTATTAGTCTTCTTGTCACATAAATGTGAAACCCCTTACCAGTCCTTTTGCTGTGTTTTCAAAATCACTCCTCTGTTTTGTAACAGGGAAAATATTAGTCATTTCTTTCTTTCCATTTTCCTTGGAAATCTTATTTCTACTTTTTATAGTTTTGACTGTCGCTTTAAATAAATTAGTAACATCTGACATTGTGCTGAAATGAGAAAAATGTTTAAATGTGTGTGGCAGGTTACATATGCTTCCAGCTTGGCACTTTTCGGTTCATAGATTTGTCCGTTAACAACGACGAACTCATTTGTATTTTCATTTTAGTAAAATCTGATTATTACTGGGTCATATGACGGGAATTCTGTCGTCCCTTAGAGCAACAGAAATCTCGTTAAATAACTGTTGAAATAAGACGACACTTATTGCAAAGCTAAAAATTAAAAAAAATTAGATCGACAATGTTTGGCAACATTTTGGTCTTCAGATTGTGATGCAGATTCTATGTTGACTTTGCGTTTGACGGAATATCGTTTTTGACTTTTATGGAAAAGAACAAAAATGACATTGAAATAATATTTGTGCGGAAAAACAGAAAATGGAATTGTTGAAATTTAAGCAACTAAAATGATCAAGACAGATATTTACCTTCATTTGATAGTTTTATTCTGTACTGTTTCAAGTATTGACATAGAAGGATGTTATGAAGGCAAATGTGATGAGCTTTACGTCCCTCATGCACCTCTTGTTTTTTGTGCAAATTTGTAAGTGATTTTCTCCTATGTTTATTTTTAAATATTTTCCTGTATCCTAGAATACAGAGATATTCCCTTCCTGATAAATGATACAATCAATTTTGTCTAACTTGTCTAAACTTTGAATTTTTCCAAAATTCTAAGGATTTTCTACCTCAGGAAGAGATTACCTATAGCTTTATTTGTCAAAACCTTTCGAAATTTCGGGTCTTTAATGCTCTTCAACTTCAAATGGAAGTTTTTAACGACCTTGACTGGCTATACAACTTTATATTTTATTTGGCCTTTTAAAAGTTTTGATTCAAGCATTACTGATAAATCTTTTGCAAACGAAACTTGCGTCTGGGGTACACAATTTTAATCCTTGTATCTTGTGCCTGTATCCCTTATCCTTTAGCAGATTTTGAATCCAGACTGTTTTTATCCCCCATCCGCTAGGCAAAGGGTGCATCAAGTGTTACCCTTGACTGACCCTCCATCCTTTTGTCCGTCCCATTTGTTTCCACACTCTAAGTTCTAACTTAATTTTTTCTCATCCAAATTTTATGAAACTCACACAATCAGTCAGGGGTACTACTTGTACAAGTAATCTTTATTTACTTTAAGAAGTAAAAAAAATATATTTATATAGGTTAATTATAGTGTTTGAATAATCTCCCCTTAATTTTCTCAAAAATTCACTTGTATAAGTAAATTTGTTTTACAATCCCACAAAAATTCTCAAGTTTTGAGATGTAAAAACATGCCTTTAATGATTTTTCCCAGGTTAGCTCATAATTTCTGATTAGAGTTCAATGTTTCATCTCATTAATTCAACAAAGAAACTGATTGCGCAAAGATCTTAAGTATTTGCGCAAGGCCTTCAAAAATTGCTCCTTGGGCAAATGTTGGGGGCTTGTAAATGAGCAGTGTTATGAAGATAACAGACAAATGAGATTTTCATTTTCCATGAAATTACACATAAATGATTAGTTAAGACATCTGCAAAGGACAGACAATTTAAAACTGTATTAGATCAAAGAAGTCCTAAGAATTCAAGAAAAGAAGATAGGATGACTTTTTCACTTATATAAGTAAAAAAATCTGAATGTCTAGGGGACATAACTAAGCCAATTTTTTTTTTACCTATACAAGTAAATAAAATACACTTGTATAAGTATCCTACAAATTTACTTATATAAGTATATTAATATTACTTCTTCTAGTAAATAAAAATTACTTGTACAACATGTACAAGTAGTACCCCTGACTGACAATGCTATGAACCAAAACTCACAGACAGAGTTAGAATTTGGGCAGTGATTCACTTACCGTTCTAGAGTAATGCTCCTTTATCTTTATAACTTAGAAAATTGGAAATTTTCCGTTTTACACTTTACCTTAAGCATGTTAAGTTTATCTCATGCAAATTTTAAGAAACTCATACACAAGGGTACGAAAAAAAACTCGCAGAGAGACTTTGAATTTGTCAAGTGAGTCACTTACCGTTCTATGTAATGCCCCTTTATCACTTCGAAAATTGCTAATTTTTTGTTTCAGTACTTTAACTTAAGTTTGCCTAACGCAAATTTTATGGAACTTGTTCACAATACTAAGAAACAAAACTCCCAGACAGAGTATGTATTTGGGCAGTGAGTCACTTAGTGTTCTGGAGTTGTGTCCCTTTATAACTTGGAAAATTGCAAATTTTTCGTTTCAGCACTCTTACTTAAGTTTTAATTTTATGAAACTAATATGCTTAGAACCAAAACTCGCAGACAGAGTTTGAATTTGGGCAGTGAGTCACTTACCGTTCTAGAGCTATACATGTATGCACCTTTAAAACTAGGAAAATTGCAATTTTTTTCATTGCCACACTCTATCTTAAGTTTGCCTAGTGAAAATTTTATGAAACTCATACACAATGCTAAGGCCAGGGCTTTTTGATTTGTTGGTTTACACATTTGCCGACCCTATTTTTCTGATTTTAAGTAAAAAAAAAAAATTAATATTTTAAGCTTTTTTATTTCGACCGATCCTAATCATGCTAATTACAAATACATCATCTCTGAAATATAAATAAAATTATCTGCTTAGCAGTATATTCATGAAATTAAATGCATTGTTTTAGCATGTTAAACATTAAAAGAAACACATTGTATTCTAAAAAAAATAAAAATAAAAAAATAATCCATAGGTTGTGTTTATGAAAATAAACAATCATAACTGACCATGAAATGTTGTTTGCACAAATAATTTTGCAGAACGAAACTTGTGTAAAAGACCCATTACAATAAGTTTGTTTTTCTTTTTTGTCATAATTCCGTATGATTTCTCATCTCATGGATAAATGGATCCGTCCAAACGTGAAAGATGTAAAGTGCCGGGGATGAGTCTACTTCTATTTTGACATGGTGCAACATGTTTGCAATTTTTATTTTATGTGTTTTCATGCGGTACGTCTAGACACTGCTAAGGAGTCCTTAGTGCACTAAGGATGTATACTATGCCATTAAGGACTAGAAGGGTATCTGTTACATGTATTATTTTTCCATATTAAGTTAAAGATTGATATTTAACAATGTTTAATGCATACATTAAAAATTTTATAGAAAAATAATCACAAATAAACGAGTTATTAAGCATTGTTTAAGCACATGCCCGTTTTTCTTTGATATACCGAAAATCAGTGAACCGATTGACACATGCCATATAACATAACAACTGATTAAACAATCATAATCTTTTTATTTTAAGTAATTAACAATTGTATCTTAAAGATTAATGTTTAATAATTAATAATTAAATATGTTGTTCTTATTTGCAATGATTAAAAGGACAAATAATTTTATTTAATTTTTTATTTCTTTCTCGACAAAGTTATTTGCGATTTGTGCATGACTTTGATGTGCGCCAACTAATAAGTTAAGAGTGTGATCAGCTTGATAAATGTTTATGTAAGCGCATGGAAGTAATATTTAGAGATACCAAGACAAAAGGAATAGATATATTTTTAAGTTTTTTGTTTTAATTTTAATTCCGACAAAGATGGGTGTAAATACAAATGGTTTCACTAAAAAATATGAGTAAATTCTGAAAAAACTATCAAAACCTGGTGTTTGCTTTTCCACTTTCTATTACTGCTTCATACTTAGTACGAATTACGATTGAATAGAAAAAAAATCATGTGACATCCTTGGGGTTATTCAAAACCACTAGTTTTCAACCAGTTTGATAGCTGTTTACAAAGGCTTCATACCGTACTTATGTTTTTGTAATTGTTCGACATTTGTTTTTTTCTAAAAGTATAAGAAGTTTAAATATCATTTATTGAACTTTGAAGTTTCATTTTCAAATATATTAAGGAGACAAATGTTTTTTAAAATGTTCCACAGTTTTTAGCACATTATTTACGAAAATTATCCCGTATGTGTTAATTTAGAGCTATAGATATAATTTTGACATAAAAAGGTTATGTTTCGTACGAATGCCTGGTAGTACAAGATAATTTGAATACTTTATACCTAAATCTATCAAGTGTAAAAATGAAAAAAAAACCAAGGATTTGTATAGTATATTATTATACAAATCCATGAAAAAACCAACAGAAATATTTTCAAATACAATTTCTTTAAATCTATTTTTCTTTAAGAAGAACAAGTATGTCAGAAGGAAATCCGATTTGTATTTTTTTAACCAAATTGTCTGTTTAAGATATTGTATGAAATAATGACTATGTGGTATGTGTTTTATTCATTATTGAAGGCCGTCCAGTGACTTATAGTTATTAATTTCTGTGTCATTTTGTCTCTTGTGAAGAGTTGTCTCATCGCCAATCACACCACATCTTCTTTCTTATATTAGTTGCATGTAGTAAAAATTTATTATCATATTGAATTCGTTTTTGTCCAGAAATATATTGCTCAAACGTTTTCTTCACATGATAAAAATTTAGAAAATGAACCATAGCAAACGCATAAGATAATCTCTGCCCAAACAGTTCATATATGAAATTAGTGTGGTTGCATGTAGTAAAGATTTATTATCTTATTGATTTCGTTTTGTCCAGTAATACATTGCTTAACGTCTTCATATCATAGTTCATATGTGAAAATAAATTTAGATATATTGCTCTGGAAACAAAGCTATTATTTACAAGAAATAATTATAAAATACTCATGAGAATCTGAAAAAAAACATGAATGAAATTTCAACAACTTATTCAGTGCGAAGTCAAATCAAAATTGATCACTGAAATATAATCTGAATAACAATTCATGTATTAGTATCCAACTTTTCCAATATTGTCCATTAAACACGACAGATAGCAGGATTCCCGTGTAATCAGTTATGTAATTTGACACGTGTCTAACGGTTCATTGATTTTCGGCATATCAAAGAAAAACAGGCACGTGTCTAAACAATGTTCAATAACTCATTTATTTATTATTATTTTTCTATAAAATTTGAAATTTATGCATTAAATATCAATATCTACCATAATATGAATAGAAATTACATGTAATAGCACCCCATCTAGTCCTTAGTGGCATATCACTAAGGACTAGATGAGGTGCTCCTTAGCAGTGTTTAGACACACCTGTTTTCATGCTTGAAGCTCATTATTCACCATGTTTCCTGATAATTGATAAAACGCAACATGTAGCTTTTTTTTTTTTTTTTTACAAATCAAATGACCATTCATTTTCCTGTTTGTCCGCAGACATAACGTTACCTCCTTTTTACAAAATTAAATGACGATTGCATGCATAATTTGTATGTTTAAAACAGCTAAGTAATTATATTTGGAGCTGAAATTTAAGAAATGATGACAAAATAGCATACCAAAAATATTGTTTGTAAGCTGAAATATATATATATATATATACTTTGTTTCCCCCAACCAACAGACCCGACCCAACTTTTTCATATAAAAAGTCTGTAAACCAACAAATTGAAAAAACCTGGCCCAAGAACCACAACATGAAGACAGAGATCTAATTTGGGCTAATAAGAATGCTTTAAGTTAATCAAGTTTATACGCATAAAGGTTATATTAATTGTCAAATGGAGAAAAAAAAATCCAGCTAGTTTCAACAGATACATGTATCATAATTAACAATTTACATCTTAAAAATCTATCAATGATTTTCTTGCCTTACCAAAACTTTAAAAGCTTATTATCTAATAATCGATAACTTCATTTTTCCATCTGATATGTTCATATGCTTAATTTTTCAAAAATATATTCTCATCATCATGTGATCATAAACTAACTTAATAAATTATAAAGTTAAAATGTCCCTCTCACTGCTACATGACAAAAACTCCAATAACCTTGAGAAAGGCAAATAAACTCAGAATTACTGAGTAATTATCAATTGAGTTCATTGTGTTCTTGATTGTTTGTGATTGCATTGTATTACTATAATGAACAAATCTGTTATCTAACATGTCTTAGATGTATGCAACAAGAGATACATCTAAACAATGTGACTGCAGTATTAATAATTCTAACATACCAAAGCCTTGAAAAGATGACAGAAAGATGGAAAAGGGCAAATTATATCCTATTAAATTGAACCTCTAATTTCATGACTTTAATTAGCATTTTCTGCATTGCTAGAAAATAAACTAAATTCATCTTGTCGTTTAGTATTTTGGTGGAAAGTTGTCTCTTTGGCAAACATACCACATCTTTATTTTCAAATGTTTCACTAACTTTGAACTGTATGCATAATTTAAAATAATTTTTTTTCACTATACTTATTGTTTTGTTGTTTTTCTCCCATTTAAAAATGGTTATTTACTTTTACATTTTTTACAGACCATTAGAGTTTTTGAACTGTAGTGATCCATTAGATTTAAATGGTAATGTAACAAGACGTCAAGAATTAGGATATGGTTGTACAAAGGTCAGTATGATTATACAATACATGTAGCTAAATCTGAATTTAAGAGGTTTTCTTTTTATGCCCCCCACCATGCCGGAAGATGCATTAAGTGTTACCCTTGTCTGTATGTCTATGTCCCAAAATTAGTTTCCGTTCTCTAACTTTAGGTTGCCTCAACCAAATGTTATGAAACTTATACACAATGCTTATTACCGCAAAACACAGATCAAGTTCTAATTTGGCTTACGTCACTTTTACCGTTCTTGAATTATGTCCCTTAAACTCCCTTAATAACATTCTATGCAAGCGGGGGCATTATCTGTGTCCCATGGACACATTCTCCATTTATTTGTTTTATCTTTATAGAAATAAGATGATGTGGTATGATTGCCAGTGAGACAACTCTCCACAAGAAACCAAATGACACAGAAATTAACAACTATAGGTCACCGTACGGTCTTCAACAACGAGCAAAGCCCATGCCGCATAGTCAGCTTTAAAAGGCCCCGAAATGACAAATGTAAAACAATTCAAATGAGAAAACTAGCGGCCTGATTTATGAACAAAACAATAAATGAAAAAAAAAATACAGCAATAAACGAAATCTACTGAATTACAGGCTGTTAATATGTTTGCTGGCGCCAAACCCTCCCCTAACCTGGTATACATGGTAAAGTTTATATTTGGTAGTGGCAGGAATCTTGACTTTTATTGATTTATTTTTACCTGCATGTATATGATTCACAAGAAGTGTGGTCTGGTACATTATATTATTTTCAAAATATTTTTTTTTTTATTTTCCAATTCTTAAGAAAGAAGTTTTAACCCCAAATAACATGTACAAAAAGCAAAATATATTGTCATTTATTCCATCAACAGATAAGAATTTAAAATTTATTAGATAATATTGCCAAACTCAATTTTAAATTAAAGTATGGTGGGAGAAGATATGAAGATGTCCAGAAGACCAAAGTAAACTGTTCCGTTTTACCAGGAATAGAATGTTTTGGTGACAGATATTTCCTTAAAGATGGTTTTCCATGTATCAAGTAAGATTGTTAATCATGTTAATTGTATTGTACATATGTAATGTTAAAATGGTGCTCTTTAAAAGAGAAATATTTGATATACATGGTTAGAAGTAGTAGAATGCAATAGCGGATTTTTTCAACTACAAGACTTCCCATCAAATGTAATATATCTTAATTGTCTTGAGCAAGTTTTGGATGTACAAAATGAACGAAAATCTTTTTTGTGGGGGTAATTATGAAACTAGATAATATTATCTGGATATGTTTTTCCATTTAAAACTGGTTTACTGCAGACTTGTTTCTCTCTAATAAGTATTTTGATAAAGATGCATCTCAATTCACTCATTACCTTTGTATATACTTGCAGTTGATGCAAATGACTTATTAATGTTTGCATAACAGATCAATTGTTTTTTTTTCCCTCACATAATAAAAAGTAATTGAGATTTCACTATGGAAAATATTGACAATACCCAGACATAAATATTTCCAACTTTTTTCAGATGCATTTTTATAATATTTGTTTGGTTTTTCAGATATACTGGTCATTACTTCCTTACAACTTTAATATATTCTGTACTTCTTGGTTTTTTGGGAATGGACAGATTTTGTTTAGGACAAACAGGTAAATTAGAATTAAATCATGTCATATGAAACTATACGAATGGTACCAGTCTATGATAATTGATTTGATACCAGTATGTAAGGATGGGTTTGTTGATTCTTTACCAAAATGTACTTTATGACCATCAGAGCTCACACTACTTCAGAATCATAGGGAGAAGTGACTTCTCTTTTTGAAACTGAGAGGGAGCAGTGGTGAGATTTGAAAGAGAAGTGCTCTTTCGCTTGCGGCGCTACAATGTCTGGTTTTTACTATAAACAAAGGGCCATATGTATCTTATTTTTGTATTATATTATTCAATTGTACCTGGGTATACAATTAAAGTAACAGTTCAAATTCAAAGTTGTTTAATTTTATCATATCTAGTTGCACAATCATATTAGTCCTCTTGTCATAAAAAAACAATTATATATCTGCAAGGATTTGTATAGTATACTATACAAATCCTTGATATCTGGCAATAATAAAAAAGAATTTTTTTTTGCATCAAAAAGGAAAAGAAAAATTCAATTCAAAAACTACTCTGTTATCATGTTTATGAAATTAAGTATTCCTCATTGAAAAGATATATAAATTTAACAGTTTTATTTAACACAGTTAAGCTTGGACATAATATAGTTATATTAGTGTAATAGCCCCAGAGTTGAGCAACTTTAATTTATTAATTGAAACAATGCATATACATGGAAATATATACATTAATCAAGTAGATCTAACCAAACGTATGTTAATGCATGTGAAATGCGTAATTTTCCTTTTGGGATCAATTTTCTTCTGTCAGCTGTGCCATTCATGCATCCATAGTCATTATCGTAAGAATCCGGATATCGGTCATAGCTGGTCGGTTTCCGATGAAATCCGACTCCCATCCGTAGTTGTACAATAATTTGCCCAATAATTTCAATGGCGGACTAAGAAAATTTACAAAAAATAAACGATGTTTGACACACTATTTGGAAAGGAATTTAACGTTTTTAATGCAATATATGAATAACAAATTTACTTCAGGCAAATTTCATCACGTTCTAGTGAAGTAACAAACTTATTTTGCCGAAAGTTAGAATGATTTGATGTACGCTCTCAAGTAACAAGTACCGGAAATGATAAAAAAAATTGTCTTTATGAAAATAACATGCAACCAACTTTAAAATCAATGCTTTAACCTCTTTTCTTAAGAAAATAAATCGTTTAGGTCTTTGAATTTCTTTACTTTTAAATGAAAAATTGCTGTTTCATCGACTTGGTAAATATTGAATATTGCCGATGACGAAAGCGAGTATCCTGAACAACAGGGCGACTAGATTTCGCTTTTGACTGTCGGGCAAAGCGAAGTGACTTTGTCGCCCCAGTCACATGGTAGCGTGAGCCCTGACCATGTTATTAACACAGTTTTCAAAAATTTAATAAAAAGTGCAGGTCTTTAAGCTACAGGATGTGCAAAATTCTCACATTTTTTGTTAGGATTATTCAGGAGAGAAAAAAACACTATTGTCATTCTGGAAAGAAACGTACATGATAAAGTTCTTATATGAAATACATGCATGAGGTACTGTTCCAGAAACAAACTGGTTATAAGTCTACTTGACAGCAATGTTCAAGTTTATTTTCATAGTGCATAGTCAATACTACCTCACACATTGTAAAACAAATGAAATTGATATCAACATATGTGGGTTTTTTTATACAAATTTTGAAGTGGAATTTGAGAATGTCTTATATAGATTCCATCAGTTGTATTGTAATTCTTTTTTGTTGTTCTTAGAGGCAATAACTTTACCTATCTATACTAATATACAGTTCACTTTTGCTTTATTGGACATACAGAAGTTTCAAATGCATTGAAAATACATTTTAAATATCTTGATACATTTATAAAATGCAATATTTAAATGTTTTCAGGTACAGCTGTGGGTAAACTGTTAACACTTGGAGGATTAGGTGTGTGGTGGATAGTGGACATTGTATTATTAGTGAACGGAATTCTCTTGCCTAATGATGGAAGTAACTGGGTTCCTTACTATTAAAAACAGTTGTAAAAGATCAGGATAAAAACAGCTTTATGCATAAATAATGTAATGAATTTACTTTTTGTACTGTCAGAATATTTGCTTGTCAAGTTGTCAGATAAATAGACAATACCTGCAATAGCACAATTTCCGAAAGTATTTTTAAATACATGAAAGAACATTAAATATTTATACATTTAAACATTGGCTACTACAAAAAGTGATCATGTAAGATGATTCAATACTTCTAACTCTTATATATTTATTTTAGAAAGCACATTATATTAATACATGCAACTTCAAATTTTCACTCCACATCATTTTCTGTAATAATCATACTCATCGAAACAGTTTGTCTGTCCTAAACATTTGGTATCAGATAAAGGAGCATAAACTTTGTAGTAATAACACAATTTTCATTTGACCATTGGACTCTGTGATAACTTTCATAAAATATATACACCATATGAACATATTTTTGACATTACATCTGATACATCAAATATCATTAAATATAATGTACTTTTAATAGAAGGGAGATAATTCATGATTTTACTATAGTATATATAGATTGCAAAATACAATTGTTTTCCCCGTAGTTGACAATTGTAATATTTTTCAAGAAACATACTAAAGAAAGATTATAAGGACAATATTTTTTAGACCCAAAAATATAGGTTTCTGTTGCTTTCTTACACAATTTGTATGTATCTCCCTTGCCTTTCAATTCTGCACTTAAAAATACAATTTACATGTCTTTCCAGACTTAAGAAAAGACTTCTTAGTTCCTCAAGGGCAAAAGAAAATATATTATTCTGCTTTTGGTATATGGATGAGTCTACAAAGTGTTTTTTTAGTATAATAATTGGGTGCATATAACAGCCAATTAGGATGTATTCATACTCTTAATTTTGAATATCATGATACATCTTCATTTTAATGACTGCATCCAGGTTACTCAATTGTTAATGGTAACCTAAGGCTAAAACATTCAATAAATAATCAAGTGTTAAGGAAATTCAAGTTTCTTTTAAATACATAGGCAAGCAATATCCATACCAAGACATAATTTGGATTTTTTTATCAAAGGTCTGCCCGAGTCTTAGAAGTTCTAGGACTTAAATACTTTCTTTTATAGTGAGTACAAACATTTTAACATATTTTTAAATGCAAGAAAGTGTATAAAAATTATAAAAAATATGTGCTGTATTTTCTAATTGTACATGTATTTATTTTTTTAATAAAATTATGGCTTTAATAATTAGTTTGATTCATTACTAACAGATTTTTAAAACAAGTTACAAGGGGCAGAGTGGTCTAAAATGATTATCTTCAAGGTTCACTTGCCTGTCAAGTATGAGTTTGTTAGTTCCAACCCTTCTCCTGACGAGGCGAGTTAGACTCTGATCTTAATTGAAAAGGATTGTCAGGTTTCTGCCTAAGGTTATGGTTCTCTCTGGGTACTACAGCTTCTTCAACAATAAAACTGATGACCTTGATATAGCCATGGACACATTAAGCACCAACAGACAAACAAACATATAAAGAAGTTGCAAATCAAAAACCCTTATCCTGAACTTTTATTTGTAATTGGCCTGACATTTTCCATCTGGAATGTCATGTACTTAAAATTTACACAGAACTTGCTTTCAATCATCTTTAGCTTTTGGTTCATTCAAGAAAATTTAACCAGAACATTGGAGCGTGCAAATCATGTTAAATTCATAGGAAAGGAGTAGGTTAAAATTGGCACTAACATTTTTCATCTGGGGAAAAACAGATTTTTTTTTTAAATAAAATAGTTGTTTAAAACAAGCAATACAAAATATCATCTTTTTAACTTATCACAGTTATGACGCCTTGATTGTGCTAATTATGTTGTAAAGTCAGTTTTGGTCAATTTTTTTATTTCAAAACATTATTTAGCACAGATAACCATGATGAAGGAATTTTGTATGTATAGGAATTCAACGTAAACAGCTGCACATTTTGGTTACAGAACATTTTGCATCATAGATTAGCAGAGGCTTTCGTGAAGGTTTCAGATCCAAAAAATGCACAAAATCATTGTGTTAAGACAACATTTCAAAATGGGCTGACTTTGGAGCCTATATTAATATATTCTTTGGAAAAGATTTGTTTTACTTAGCATTCACACCTTGCACAGTTATTAACAAAATGTATCAGCATGTAAGAAAGTGAAATATAATTACTTTTGCTCAGCTTTTCTTATAAAGTCTTAACATTTACACCAAGATTGGCCAAAAATAGAGATTTTGGTGAAAATTGACAAAATCATCTGGATTTCAACCACGTTTAGTCTCAGAAACATAGAGCCTAGGATTCAACAAACTAAATAATCAAGTTGTATATGAAAGTCAAAACATCTTTTTCATTGATGTATGTATTGTACGTTTCCAGTCCTAGAACCCAACAGAAATTGACCAGTTTTCATTGAATTTCTTCGAAAATCAAAATGTGTGCTATTCATGATGTCATTAAAAGAAAACTGATGCAAAAATTTTCAACAAAGAGACCTAATTACTATCTAGTCATTGTTTTAGCTTTAATTCATTATGATAATGATCAATAAATCCTTATTTGAAATTTAAGCTAGGGCCATATTAGGGCCTTTAATATCAAACCTACTCCTTTAAATGTTTAACAAATTATACATTTTCTATAAGTTTGCATACAGAATTTGAGAAAACCATGAAATCAAATATGCACAAAATATAATTTTCCTTTATCCACAAAAAAAATGAATATACAGAATAAGAGTTCACACGCTGAAATGTCTTGCCTTCTTTACTACCATTGATTTTATGTTGATAGCCCCAAATATAAAGTTTTACTACAAGTATCACATTAATTTATCATGATCAAAGAAAATGAGGTGAATGGTCAGACAAACCAAGCCAGAAATACATGTACACCTTACAATAATTCCATACATTGAATATAGTTGACCTAAACAAAAAATGTATGGACCTATTGGTTATAGTATACAAGAAACAGACAAAACCATGAAAACTTTATATTGACCAATGAACCATGAATATGAGGTCAAGGTCAGATGAACCCTGCCAGACAGACATGTACACTTTACAATCATTCCATGGATCAAATATAGTTGATGCATCAAATATAGTATCTAAGAAACAAGTTTAACCTCGAAAACTTATCATTGACCAATGAACCATGAAAATGAGGTCAAGGTCAGATGATACCTGCCAGACAGACATATAAACATTACAATCATTCTATACACCAAACAGACCAAAACACAAAAAATTTTACGTTGAGCAATGACCCATGAAAATAAGGTGAAGGTCAAATAAAACCTGCCAGACTGACATGTACATCATAAAATATTTCCATACACCAAATATAGCTGACCTATTGCATACAGTATTTGAAAAAATAGACCAAAACACAAAATCTTAACTTTAACCACTGATCCATGAATATGAGGTCAAGGTGAGATGACACATGCCAGTTGGACATGTACATCTTACAATCATTCCATACACTAAATATAGTAGACCTATTGCTTATAGTATCTGAGATATGGACTTTACCACGAAAACTTAACCTTGTTCACTGATCCATGAAATGAGGTCGAGGTCAAGTGAAAACTGTCTGACAGGCATGAGGACTGTGCAAGGTATGCACATACCAAATATAGTTATCCTATTACTCATAATAAGAGAGAAATTAACATTACAAACTAGAGGCTCTCAAGAGCCTGTGTTGCTCACCTGTATCTACTGTGGTTTTGGAAATCATGTAAAATAAGGTTAAAATCATATAGATACCCTAATAATGATTGAGGCCAAGTTTGGTTTAATTTTGCCCAGTAGTTAAATTAAAAGCAGAAGATTTTTGAAAAGATTTACAAAAATTACCAATAAATTGCAGAAAATAATTTTATAGGACAATAAGGTCTTTCTATGTTGTTATGTTACAATATTGTTTCAGGAAGGGTGAAGGTTGGTGCCTATTAAAACGTTTAAACCCGCTGCATTTGATTGCACCTGTCCTAAGTCAGGAACCTGATGTTCAGTGGTTGTCGTTTATTGATGTGGTTCATAAGTGTTTCTCGTTTTTTATATAGATTAGACCGTTGGTTTTCCTGTTTGAATGATTTTACACTAGTCATTTTTGGGGCCCTTTATAGCTTGCTGTTCAGTGTGACGCATAGGCTCCGTGTTGAAGGCCGTACTTTGACCTATAATGGTTTACTTTTTACAAATTGTGACTTGGATGGAGAGTTATCTCATTGGCACTGATACCACATCTTCTTATATCTAATAACTCCAATAAGATGTCAATTGCCAATTGGTCGTGTTAACTTATTTGTAGATCTTTCTTTGCTTGATATTTTTGCTGTTTACAGTATATCTCAATCTATAATGATATTCAAGATAATTAACAAAAAATAAAAAATTTCCTTTCCTCCACTCCAAAATTTATTTCACACAGGGCCTGTTTAATGCTGAAAATGCCTTTAATGTTTTTATGGAACACCCTTCATAAAAGATTTGGGCAGGGGTTCCCCTGACCCCGACTAACCTGCCTGGTCTGGGGGGCATTCACCCAATATAAGTATGCTGAAAGAAAAGATATAATGATGGTTTATAGAAAAGTAACACTGAATAATTCTGAAAATGGAACATATCAAGGAGAAATTATAAGCACCCCCCCCCCCCCTTCCATGAAAAAATTGCACCCCTGGAAAAAATATCAAGTCATCCCATTGTAGTCTTACAATAGTTACTGAAGACCCCTTATCATTATTTAAATTAGTTTTCAAGTTGTGACCATTTGAAATTGTTTTTTTATATTTTCCCAGACTTCTATAGTAAACCCCTATGTTCTATTTTTACCAATGGGAACCATGTTGGTTGTAGGGCAGTGTCATCGGATACATTTTTTTCAATCAAGATACTCTAATAATAATTGTGGTTAAGTTTAATTCCATTTGACCAAGTAGATTAAGAGGAGAAGATTTTTGTAAAATAGTGAAAAATTGACTTTAAAGGGCAATAACTCCTTTAGGGGTCAATTGACAATTTTGGTCATGTTGACCTGATGAACATTTTAACCCCATTAGATTTGCTCTAAATGCTTGAGTTTCAGAGATATAAGCCAAAAACTGCATTTTATCTCTATGTTCAATTTTTAGCCATGGCGGCCATCTTGGTAGGTGGGCGTGGTCATTGGATACATTTTTTAAACTAGATACCCTAAGGATGATTTAGGCCAAGTATGGTTTAACTTGGCCCAGTAATTTCAGAAGATTTTTGTAAAAGATGACAAAAATTTCCAAAAAATTGTGAAAAATTGACTTTAAAGGGCAATAACTCCTTAAGGGGTCAATTGACAATTTTGGTCATGTTGACTTATTTGTAGATCTTACTTTGCTGAACATTTTTGCTGTTTACAGTTTATCTATATCTATTATAATATTCAAGATAATAACCAAAAACTGCAAAATTTCCTAAAAATTACCAATTTAGGGGCAGCAACCCAAAAATGTGTTGTCTGATTTGTCTGAAAATTTCAGGGCAGATAGATCTTGACCTGATGAACATTTTACCCCATATCAGATTGCTCTAAATGCTTTAGTTTCTGAAATATAAGCCAAACACTGCATTTTACCCTTATGTTCTATTTTCAGCCATGGCCGCCATCTTGATTGGTAAGCGGGGTCAACAAATACATTTTTTAAATTATATACCCATAGGATGATTAAGGCCAAGTTTGGTTTAATTTGGCCCAGTGGTTTCAGAGAAGAAGATTTTAGTAAAAGTTAACGACGACAACGAAGGACAACGACAGACGCCAAGTGATGAGAAAAGCTCACTTGATTCTTTGGGTCAGGTGAGCTAAAAATCTTAACTTTTTTCTTTTTTTCAAGTAGTCACTGAACCATGAAAATGAGGTCAGGGACAAAGGACATATGACAGACAGAAACTTCATAACATAAGGCACTACCTTCTGAAATATTAAGCTTTTAAGTAGTTACCGGGTAGTTAACGCCGCCGTGGCCGGCGGATCACTATCCCTATGTCAAGCTTTCTGTGACAAAAGTCACAGGCTCGACAAAAAGCACTGCTACAATTTACCAGTAGTACCTTCTTTATTTTTTACTTAAGTATCAGCTTCATTTACCTTAGTTACTGCATAAACTTGAACTACCCAATTACGGCAACTAATATCCTTTCTATTTTCAAAATGTCAATGCCCAATAACCATGCTCAATATCTCAAGATTGAAGGCGCTGAAAAGGGTCAAAATATTAAATTCCAAGGGTCAAAAGTCTGGAAATATAAAGCTGTGCCATGCACATATGTCTGTTCTCTTTCCTGTCCACCATTTAGGTCCCATATCTTCAGTTAGCAAAACAAGAATCTTAAAATATTAAGTAATTGGGTGACAGAAAACTGAAGTTTAGACATGAAAAATACCATGCCATACATACATACCCCCTACCCCACTGTTGCTCAATATTTAGTTTTCTGTGTACCAGTAGTGTTTTGTGGGATTTGAAGAAATCGGCCAACATGCAGTTCTTATGCTTACCCTACTACAACTTTTGTGGCAAGTGAGACAAAGAATGGATAAAGCAAAATTGCACAAATAACAAAGAAAGGTACCATAATAATTCCATTGTTGACTAACCCATTGATATACAATTGGATCAGAACATCCCTTCCACAGGCACATTTACATGGTAGGATCTAGGAATGTACCAAGCTTCAAACAGATACCAAAAATGGTATAAGAGTCTCTTTAAGAAAGTGGATTCAGAAAAAGATCAAAATTTAAAGATTAAAGGGGCATACTCCTGAACCTGCCAATAGTAATATTTTCTTGTTATCTTATGGTATATTTGTTGAAGGAGAAGAAGGCAAAAATTACAAAACAAAACTTATTGTCATTTGTTTATTCTTGTTTAGTCAATACAAATATCTATACTTCCACTCCTACGCATATTTAACAAAATTTTAGCACAATTTCATAGAATTAACAAAAAATTGAGATATAGGCACCAATTTTATATGATTGAGACAACAAAACAGGCAAAATTTCATGGAACTTCATGGAAATCTAAAAAGATGGATAGCAGTCTCCACATCTTTAAAAAATTATATTGAGATAGGTTAAAATTTTGGATTTATCAGTTTCTTGTGAAAAAAAATTATTATTTTAATATTTAAGTTTGGTAAGGAGATTGTTGATAAGGCTGCTTTTTCTACCTCTTAAAATCAAAAAGCATTATAAATCTTCCCAATCCCATCCTTCAGATGCTCATAGCATAAGTCTCTCAGACATCAGTGCTTATATTTTTTAATTTATTATTAACATATTGGCATAAGAGCATCAAACTTCGTACATTTAGTGCAAAATATCCCTATTGTCAATAATATTAAATATGAGCAACAGCTTTACCCAAAAAGATATTTTGCTACAACATATATTTTACTAAGATGTTAATGTGGGTAAATATCTTTTGGGGTAAAGCTGTTGCTCACATGTATTTTTACCCAAAACTATGCGTAAAATTACCATTTTAGGTCAAATATGTAAGTTTCTACATGTCACCTTGCTGCACTATAATGTCCAGATTATATTACCCTGTTCAATTTTGAAAGGAATAAGTTTACTATTTTTGCAATTTTAGGGCCATATAATGGTGACTTGTAGTATTAATCTTGACATTTAATACAAAACTTAACTTTGATGGTCAAAACAATGACCCTATTAAATACTATAATCCCTTCTTAACTTCATTTGGTGAGGGGATAAAGATAGTGTTTTAAGAAAGTGTCACCATTATTTTGTTTTAAGTGCATTTTAGTCTTGTTATACATGTATAATGAGAAGAGGGAATAAAATATTGTTTTAAGCTAGTATCACTGTAGATTTGTCTATGTGCATTTTGATCGTTATAACAAAAAATGAATAGAGTCATATTCAAATTAATTAAATGTCCTTAGAATTTTGTAAGAATTATAAGTAAAATGAAAATTTTATATTGGGTGGTTGGGGGTCTAAAAAAAGGTGTCTCCCATGTGTTTAATTTGAGAACAGCCCTTATCAAATACTAAATTGCACACACACTCTTATAATTACCGTATAAAAAACAATCAGAATTTGCTTTGTGCATCAATATTCAACCTAGAAACTAATGTTCATTATCACTTCTGTCTTTTTTTTCAAACTTCAACCTTTAAATTTGAGGTCAGGATGTAATTTATGTTAAATGATCAAATCTGAGGTTTACTTGAGCTTAGTTAAATGATGAAAGTTGATATACCTCAAATAAAATATGAATTTACTAATATTATGCTTGAACAAAGTGGCAATTTCACTGACATCTAATTATCAAAATGGTTTTAATACAATAAATTAATAAATAAAAAGTGAGCATCAAATTCAAACACTGAAATTATAAGAGTTATATTACACCTGTAACCAAGGGTTTTTTACTATTGAAATCTAAATGTGGTAACAGACTATTTCAATTTTGGAATTTTAAAAACATTTCATTTCCTCAGTACAATTTGAAACATAATGTAAACAGTCAACCATAGTACGATCTAAAATGTGCATTCATACTACATGTACCATCCATTCCTTAAATCCTACAAGCTATCATTCATTCAATATGTACCATTCATTCCTGAAATCCTGCAAGCTATCATTAATTTCCTCACTCGTTCAGACTATCATTCTTTTTTTCAATCATTTACCTTCATCCATACTAAGAAAAACTTATACATCATTTCATTACAAAATCAACATGATAAGATTTTAGTAATACACAATACAATAATTACAAAATACACTGTGTTATTGCTCCCTTAAAATAAACAACATATATTTTAATTAATGGAAAGGAAATAATTCTATCCCGGAAACCGAAAGTATATGTGCAGGGACCCGAAAAAGTGTTACACATTTAAACTTATCCATACAAAGCTTCATAAATAATATAAGGAAGCTATAACTAGAAGTTGATACGAAAAACTTGAACAGACTTATTTACTTGTGCGCTACATAGTAAGAACATACAAGTATTTGGCAAACAGGAATCTGACAATAAAATATCATACATTAAAACTTAACTAAAACCTCTTTTGAACCAAATATCCTAAATTTCAGAGTTTTTTTCGCTGTATCAATAGTGAGAAAATTTTTACACATGGGAATTACATGTACAGTTAAATGAAATACATGAATTTGATAATAATGATTAGCGATGAATCCATAGATATGTTGTTGATACATGAATTTCCATTTTAATGATATAAAATAATCATATGGTCACTGAAACCAATTTGTTACTTAGTAGGTAGTGAAAAACATCAAAAATCAATATTTTATGGCTTACAACACGATGATGTTATGCTTATTTCATGTATTTCAACATTTTGTAATAGTTTTTACCTAGAAATATCTCTGACATTGCCCATTTACTGTAACTTAACCTTAAACACAGACATTCCAGCATTTAGCATTCTTCTTTTATATGTTGGCAACAAACAAACATTTTAGATATTACTACTAAATGATTTAAAAGTAGTTTTACAATAATACAAATGTATGTAGGGTCTGTTGTGTATTACCAACTTGTGACCATGACTTTCGAGATAGTTTCAATCTTTTTTCGTGACACACCTTTCGTGATGTTAAATCCTACAAGCAATTTTGTTACTCCACACATTTAAAAAATAATACAGAATGGAAATGAATTGTGTTTAACAGCAGAGAAATGGACAATAAAATGTTATTGCAAAATTTCCTCAGGACTGTATTGTAGTATTTGAGCAGGGTAGCCATAAATATTAACTGGAGATCACAATACTTTTGACCACAAAAAGTTGCCAGTATAATATACGCTCTGACATTCAATGGTGAGACATAGAAATATCATAATATATTTCAAAAGCACCAACTTTTTACATTTCTTTTACATGCTCTAACTTTGCTATGAATATAAAAATTCAGAACATGTCACAAGTTCACAAGCACTACTATAATTAGGAATATCTTTCATAAAAAGTCTCAATTGTCTAAACATATTTTGATCTTCTTTAGTATTCCGTGAATATCTTTTACATTTCACAAACTTATCTGTCAAGTAATGTAGCCACCAAACGTTGGATTTAGGATTAAACTTCTCCCAGTTATTCCTAAAAAAAAACATACAATAGTACACTTGCAAAACAAAACTAACTTCATTCATAATTATACATGTCAAGTTCAATATTTTTTAATTTTGTAATTTCACTCTTAAATACATATATAAGACTTTTGTTACAATAAGTAATTAAATGCATGGTGTTAATATTTGTTAAATGATAAAATTGTTTAGCCACTGAAAATTGCTGAATGAGAATAGATCTTTCCCATCAAATATTTTTCCAGTATAATAAAAGAACAGAGTTCCAATGTCCCCTGCATTGCACATATTTTATATTCCAAGGGGCATAACTCTTTTTAAAAAAGTAGATCGTCTGCAAAATTAAGGAAAATGACTTAGGGGGTTAGATCAAATGATCTCCATCAAAATGAGATGTGCAGATGCTTATACAACTGAATACCAAATAACATTGACCTACTATAAGTGTTTTTTTCTTCTCGACGAGTCCATCTAATCACAAACATTAATAAAATGTTGATGACGTAGTCTCTGGAAACAACATGCCTAAGTCATCTTATCACTACTTCACTTATGCAAATAAAAAACTTAATTAATTACCAGAAACATCAAATTGTGAATATTAATTTTACAACTTTTCGGCACGGTCCTTACTTAAAATGGTATTGTAAAGTCTCTTATATCTCTTCTTTATAAACTTCATGAAAATATCATTATCTACAGTTGGTATAATGTATACAAAAAAATATATATAAATTAGTATAATATAAGTTTTATAAAATTCTGGCAAGAATTGTACCAATGAGAGCGCTTACAAGACCAGACGGACGGACAGATGCCCGGTATTCCCATGTCCCCCGCAACAAGTTACGAGGGGGACAATAAGCATATGCTACCAATTTAAGTGGTCACAACACATGTTCTACAATAACCTTCATCACATGCACACCTTTCTAATTTTTAAAGATGCAAAATACTTGGTCATTTGGGGTCTTCAAAACTAATTAGGCCTAACCAGAATAACTCAATACTTAAGGAAAGACAGAACTGTAGTTGAAGATGCCATCGTCAACTGGCATTTTGATGGTCGCAAATGCAGTTTTTCGGGCAACGCATAGTGGAGCCAGTAAAACCGATATTTGCGACCATCAAATCCCAATTGACGATGACAACTCTTCAACTACGGTACTGTTGTTCCGATTCTAATGCATTACAAAAAGAAATAATATGTTAGAACTTGAAGAATATATATAAATTTGAAATAAATTAAAATAAAATGAATGATTATGGCAACGAAAAATGCCAACGTTCAAACTAGAGGTTATTCCATTACTTCAAAGATTCAATTTTGGATTAAATCATAATCAAAATTGTGATTTTTTGGAGGTGTTGTTTTATTTTCGATATATTGTAGTAATCAAACATCTGCTTATTCGAGCTATTCAATATGGCTGCTTACTCCTACAACATATCAACCGTGGAATTATTGGTAAAATTTAGCCAATGAAAAAAATTGTTATAGAAAAATTTCATTAGAATGTGGATTCATTTTTTTTTTCATGGATTGAGAAAAAATTGTATTGTCATTAATATTTGATTTTCTGGTTTTGCCAAAGTCTGCTCACTTTAATTCGTGTTTTTTCTATAACAAAAAATCCACAAAAAAGGTACTCCATGAAAAATAGTAAATCTACTGTACTTTAAACAAAAAAATACCCCCACAACCAACATACTTTCTACAATATATGCGGCATAAAATAATGATTTCTAAAGTTTTGTGATCAACATACCCATTTTCTTCCTTCATTTTTCTGTAAATCTCAAACTGATAATCTCCTGTCCCTTCAAACAATGTGTCATCTGTAGACAAATCATTGTATGTCGTAACTCCCTCTAAAAATAAAAGTAGATATCAATTTCAACATGGTGTGAAACTAATAACAATAAATTTATAACTAACCAATAAGAGAACTTCTATGATGTCAATACACTCTAAATCCGTTGGATGTGTATTGATTAATTATAATAAACTGTTATCTCAGAGATATGTCTCATCTTTTTGTAATTTTGATAATGCAAATGTTGAAATTAAAATAGCAATACTTTAACATGTAAGTTATGCAAATATTCAAAGTCCATGAACCATGACTGAAGGTACATGGCTAAACAATCTCCATGGAAATGAGATGTGCCAATGCTAATACAACTGCATACCAAATACCATTGACTTATTTTAAGTCGTTCCCTTTAAACAAACCTAAACACAAACATGAACCTTTAAACTATGTAAAAGTTTCAAAGTCAATGAACCATGATGAGGGGTTGGGGCTATATAATCTCCATGGAAACGACACTTGCAAATGCCAATAAATTTGCATCCCAAATATCATTGACTTAACATTAGCAGTTCATCTTAAACTGATCTAATCACAACTAATACATGTAAACTAAGCAAAAGTTTCAAAGTCAATAGACCATGACTGAGGGGGCAGGGGCAAACAATCTCCATGGAAACGAGATGTGCCAATGCTAATACAACTGCATACCAAATATTGACCTACCACTTGTGGTTCACCATAAACTGGACCTAATCACAAACTAATACATTGTTGACGCCGCCACTGCCACAGTTTTTGTCGAGCCTTCGACTTTTGTCGAAAAAAGCGAGACATAGTGATCCTACATTCCGTCGGCGTCGTCGTCGTCGTCGTCGGCGGCGTCCACAAATATTCACTCTGTGGTTAAAGTTTTTGAAATTTTAATAACTTTCTTAAACTATCCTGGATTTCTACCAAACTTGGACAGAAGCTTGTTTATGATCATAAGATAATATTCAAAAGTAAATTTTGTAAAAAAAAAATTCCATTTTTTCCGTATTTTACTTATAAATGGACTTAGTTTTTCTGCCAGGAAACATTACATTCACTCTGTGGTTAAAGTTTTTGAAATTTTAATAACTTTCTTAAACTATCCTGGATTTCTACCAAACTTGGAAAGAAGCTTGTTTATGATCATAAGATAGTATCCAGAAGTAAATTTTGTAAAAAAAAATTCCATTTTTTCCGTATTTTACTTATAAATGGACTTAGTTTTTCTGCCAGTTAACATTACATTCACTCTGTGGTTAAAGATTTTAAAATTTTAACAACTTTCTTAAACTATCCTGGATTTGTACCAAACTTGGACAGAAGCTTGTTTATGATTAAAAGCTAGTATCCAGAAGTAAATTTTGTAAAAAAAAAAATCCATTTTTTCCGTATTTTACTTATAAATGGACTTAGTTTTTCTTCCAGTTAACATTACATACAGTCTGCAGTTTAAGTTTTTAAAACATTTATTAGATTCATAAACTATCCTGGATTTTTACCAAACTTGGACAGAAGCTACTTACAATCAAAAGATAGTATAGAGAGGAATATTTTTATTAATTTTTTTCCTCATTTTTGCTGAGCCTGTGATTAACAGCAAAAAGTAGGCGAGACACTGGGTTCCGCGGAACCCTTACAAATTTTTTCTTATGTTGTGCTGTTAAAACACTGTCCCAGGTTAGGAGAGGGTTGAGTGCTCACAAACATGTTTAACCCCTCCACATTCTTTATGTATATAAAAAAGGAGATGTGGTATGATTACCAATGAGACAACTATCCACCAAAGTTCAAATGAAGAGGATGTAAGCAATTATAGGCAACCGTATGGCCTTCAACAATAAGAAAAACCCATACCATATATGTCCTAAACCAGGATCCTGTAATTCAGTTGGTTCATGTCTGCCATATTTGATTTTCATAAATTGTATTGTATAAATTGACCCTTTAATTTTCTCGTTTGATTTGTTTCACATTTTTTATGTTGGGGCCTTTTATAGCTGAATATACAACATAGGTTTTCTCATTGTTGAAGGCCATTCATTTGAACTCTGGTGGATAGCTTTTTCATTGGCAATAGTACCACATCTCCTTATTTTTATATTCTTAAGTCATTACAGCAAACTAATTAGAGTAAGCACATCGTCTGACTGCAAAACATCTCTTTAACACTACAATTTTTAAATTTATTAAAGTAAAACTGCAGTCAGGGCTCACCAAAAAAACTTTTTGTAAGTCAAAGAAATGGGGGCAATTGCTCCCATTCCCCTCCCCCAACCATGACCTTAATAAACAATCAACACAGAATCATGAATGTTGAGGTGAGCACATGTATGATAAGTGAGATGATAGAGCGATGTTTAGTTGGTTTTTTCCTTCTGTGTTTGTTTACTTTGTCTTCAATCACAATTTTTCCTTTCTCATTTGCCCAGTACAATTGCCAAAGAATGGTGTCATGTTAAGGCCGCTGCACACGGAAAAGCTGTCACCGAATAAGAGTAGGGGTAAGCAATAACTCAATAGCAATAATGATAGCATAAAGGATTTTCTTTTAAAAGAAAGTCTATGCACATGTTTTATAGTAAATATTAGCCAATTAGTTATATAAAACTAATTGATCTTTTTTGTTAAATTTGAAGGATCATATGACTTTATACTAATTTATAAGTAAGTGCATGATGTTACTTTTCATTCTAAACTAAATAAGAAATATCCAAAAAGCTTCTATCACTGTTTGACAGAAGTCACATCCTTTGTCAGAATTTTAAAATGCTAGCTTACAAGGACATAATATTCCAATTCTGAATGACCAGTCTTTGCTCTTCATACTAAATGCTCTTTGTTTGACAGAGAAGCAGCAAATACCATTTTAAAGATTTTGGTGTGACAACCAAGAGATCAAAGCCCTAGAATCGGAACACACTACAAGAAGATCATAAAGGTGGTTATTTGCTTCTATAGATAGCTGCCTGGTTTTTAGAGCATTAGGCACTAAATTATTGGAACAGATTTTTATATCTGGCTACCATGTTTTCAATGTGCATTTCCTTTGAACCCCATACTTTGAACAGCCATTTATACTGATATGGCTATCTAATATTCAATGTGCATTCCTTTTGCATCAAAGGTCATTTATACCTAAATGCTTACACTATTTTCAATGTTCCCTCCCTAGACACCACACACATGAAATAGCCTTTTATACCTGTATGTAATCTTGATAATGTAAAATCTATGATGCTGACATGAATATTGTGACATTCTAGTTTATAAAGCTGACCCATCAGTTTATACTTTAAATGAGTTTTCTTTGTTTTTTGCACTAGTACATTTCCCCAATGTAGATCTCTGTGTTCAAACTGTAACGATTCTTCTGCAACAGCCAAGGAGAAGGCAACTTGAACTAAAACACTTTTTGCTTCAAATATATTGTGGAACTGAAAAACAAAAACAAAACATGATAATTTTCACTTTTACAGCTTCTGTGTATTCCACAAATATCAAATCTTGAACTCACAAACAAATCATCTAGTCTATCTGTATATTCATGTACACTGAAATACTGGTAAATAACTGTTCGTCTGAATGTGTGTGTAGATAATTCAATGACAAAATATTCTTTATCTAAAAGCTATATAAAAGATGATGTACTGAGCAAGTAACACACAACTTTTAATCGGTGTAAGACAATTGAACTATCGTTTTTATTCATCAAAATCTGTCATGTTCATCATAATACTATACTTTGTATTCTAAAACTATTGTCACATAAAACCTTGGAATAGCAGGATAAAAGGGAATCATTTAGCAATAAATACCATTAGATAGTACCAGTTATACATTATTTGTTTAAATTTTGAAAAGTTTGAGCTAAAAAAATTAGAATCTTTGTGAGCTATTGCTCATTAATTATACCCTGATCAATGTTGTTGATTTGATCTTGCAGTAAATACCAAAATATCATATATGTGCATGACAAAAGGGACAATTTTTCATTCCCTATTGTTAATTTTCTTTTTTTGGATGGTGATGTTCCTTTGGCACCATCTTACCTTGTTTATATATCACAACTCATTCACTATGCTCATGTTTGTTGTGACATTTTGGATTTCAATGAATTAACTATAATTATCAAGTCAGGGATTTTGTTACCACAAATTACTTAAATCCTTTACTAAATTCTTCCATAAATTTTAATATTGTTTTTATTTGTATTAATATTGATTTTGTTCAGTAAATTAAAATCAAACTAACATTTTTTTATATACATATGCACATTCATGGCTCTACAATTTGTCGATACCTGTATCTTGGCATTGCACAAGGTCATGTTTTTCTATGACTGTTAATGACGTCTTTATGCTAAATCCATTGGATTTTGGATGTGTACTGATTGACATTTTAGTCTTAGATGCATGATTTTTATTAGTTGTTATTGGCTTTGAACTAGCTGTCAGTAACTGCAAGTACTCTCGGATCTGTTCTTAGTGTCCTTTTGTGTTTTTATTAATGATTTTTATGTGCTTTGTATTGATGATCCGATGAGTTAAGCCCTTTCAACTGATTTTTATAGTTTATTGAACTGATCTAATTGACACATCAATTACTTAGTGTCTTTTTGTTGTGGGGATTAATAAGTACCCTGTCACGTCCACTCTGTGTTTTTGTTAGATGTATTTCTGCTTTGTATCCATCTGATGAGTTAAGCCCTTTTCAACTGATTTTTATAGTTTGTTCTTAATTGTACTGTTACACCACTGGGGTAGGGTTGGCGCCTTCAAACTAATTTAACCCTGCCATATTCTGTATGTGTCTGTCCCAAGTCAAGAGCCTGTAATTCAGTGGTTGTCGTTTGTTGCTGTATATATTAGTTTTTTGTTCATTATTTTGTACATAAATCAGGTGATTAATTTTCTTGTTCGAATTGTTTTATATTTGTCATTTCAGGGCCTTTTATAGCTGACTATACCGTATGGGTTTTATTCATTGTTGAAGGCCATACGGTGACCTATAGTACTTAATTTCTGTGTCATTTAGTTTCTTGTGAAGAGTTGTCAAATTGGCAATCATACCAAATCTTAATATAACATTTAGAGATACGAAAATAGATTTAATTGTATTGTGTTTATAATCACATTTGCACAGGCAAGCTTAAGATTCATTTCTCAGGGATGTACTATAAAATCATACATGGTACCCAGGGAAAGCACTTTCATAATGGGGTAACCACCTATAGAGGCAAATTTAGAATTTCAATTACATTTCCACTGTACTTGACATCCACCCATAGTAAGAGATTTCAGAGTGCCTTCCCTGAGTCCCATGTATGTTCTTATGGAAAAGCCCTCAAATGTTCCTAAAAATGTACATGTATTAGGTTTTTTCTACAGATATATAAATCTGCCACCTGATAAAATTGGCAGAATAAGTGAAGCCCAACATGACTCCTGGACTTCAATGTCATTCAATCCATTAAGACATTGTAAAATGAAAAGTAGCTCCCCCAGTGTGCTAATATATTGGTGCTAATTTGCTAGTACAAGACAGATGCATGAAATCCACTCATTTTGTATATTAGTGTTTATACATTTGTAAAAATATCTATAATAAAAGAATGTGTCTGAGGACACAAATGCCCCCCCCCCCCCCTCAAGTTTTGCATTTTTCAAAGTTAAAAAGGGGCATAACTCTAGAACAGTCTATGAATCACTGCCTAAATTCAAACTCTGTCTGTGTGTTGTGGTTCTTAGCAATGTGTATGAGTTTCGTAAAATTTGGATAATAACTCATTAAAGTTAAGAGAGCAGAAACAAAAATGGGATGAAGGGAAGGACATTCAAGGGTAACACTTAATGCCCCATTGCCTACAACGGGGGCATAACTAATCTATGTTGTGTATTGTATACTGTTGTCTTTTTGTCATTTTTAGCTAAGGTATGGTCAGTTCTTTTCTAACTTATGAGTTTGAATGTTATTCACCTCTCTTTAACATGATAACATTAACTAAAGGGGATATCAAATGTTTAATATGACCTTATCTGGCACAAATTCATATCTGACACTATCCTCACCTTAGCAGATTCAACATCTTTACCACCATCAGCAAACTCAAATACAATAAACAGCTGTTGGTCTGTGAACACGTCTATTAAAAATATTAATATATATATATAAATAAAGAATAATATCAAAAATAATTACAATATAAACTTTACCATGTAGAGTAATCATAATATATATAGATAGTACCAGTACTATAATGAGTTTTTGACATACATGTAGCCTGTAAGTACAGCACCAATTTTCTTTTTCAAATTAATTTCCCAAATTTCATAAGGCACTTTTGGTAAAATTTGATGGGTGGTGGTTATTTTAGACAGAAAGCCTTAACAATTATATGAAATCATCAGTTAAAATTTTATGCATGGTGGGGTTAGATAAAAAGTGCCTTCCGACCTTGGTTACAAGCACTTCTGGCAGTTTATTTTTTGATGGACTGTGTTCACCAGACTGTTTTCATAACCATACAAGTAACGATGGTGGCTTGACTTCTACTTGACACTCATAACAAGTAAAAATAATTTTTTACTGATGCTGTTAAACAAAAAAGCTAAAAATTTCTTAAATTAAACAGATGTGTAATAAACTACAGCAGTTCACTAACCAACAGGTCATGTTTTTCTCTGACTGTTAATGATGTATTTACACTAGATCCATTGGATGGTGGATGTGTACTGATTGATATTTTAGTCTTAAATAAAGGCTTTTTTATTAGTTGTTATTGACTTTGAAGTAGCTTTCAGTAACTGCTAGTACTCCCAGATTTGTACTATGTGTCTTTTGTGTTTTAATCAGTGATTTTTATGTGCTTTGTATTGATCCGATGAGTTAAGCCCTTTCAACTGATTTTTATAGTTAGTGTGTAAACTGATCCAATTACGTCAATCAAACTCCATAAAAAAATGTGAATAACTTTTACTACCACGGTGCTTTTGCTACCATAATATAACTGAAAGGAGTCTTAAAATAAAAACAAACCAGGTCTATCATTCTGTGATTCTTTTTCTGTATGGAACATGTCCCATTGCTTTAACAGTTCTCTTGGATACTTTCCTTTCACACAAGAAACACTGAATAAATAAATATATCAAATGCATTTATAATATCAAATTTTATTTATTCCAAACTTAGATTTATTGTAACTGACTAGTAAGTAAACTAGAGGCTCTACATAGGTCTATGTGCATATTCAACAAAGGACACTCTCCAACATTGTAGACTAGAATAGAATTCATGACAAAAATTTCTTTTTTGTTGATCTTGTATTGCTGTCCGTTTTGTCTGTAAGTGTGCTCTTGTGAGTCTTGTCATCACTTCATATTGTTTCTTTTGTATGCACCCTTTAGTTCTTTATCACCTTCTGTCTAATGCTAGCTGGCATGAAGAGTTTATTAACCTTCCTTTTAAATGTGAACTAATATGCACTGCTATGTAACTAAAAAATAGGCTAGGTGAGTGGAGTGGTACGGTAAGACAGCATTTTTATGCAGAAAATGAAATCACTGAAAATTGATGCATTACTGCATGAACTATTTATAACCAGGCTCCACTAGCTGAGAAACATGTAAATTTCATGAATTTTTGTTAGTAAAATATGTTCATAGTACACAATCCCTGACATATTTCTTATAATCATTATAAAAAAACTATTCTGTTTATCATGTTTATGAAATTCTTTCTTTCTCATTAAAAAGATATATAAATTTTACAAAGTTAATCAACTTTAATCAACCAAATTGATAATATATACATTTAGCAAGGAGATCTATAAACCGAAATGTATGGAATGCGTAATTTTTACTTTTGGAAACATTATTCTTCTGTCAACTGTTCCATTCGTGCTTCTGAAGTTATTATCGTAAGAATACAGATTTTGGTCATAGTTGATTCGCTTCCGATGAATACCACCTCCGATCAGTGGTTCGTACAAATATTTCAATGGCAGCCGAAGAAAAATTTACGAAAAAAAACAATGTTTGACAAGCAATTTGAAACGGAATATGACACTTTTAATGCAATAAATGGATTAAACATTAACTAAAGGTAATTTAATCACTAATGAACTAATGTATTAATAAACTTATTTTGCCGAAAATCAGAATGTTTTAATGTCTCGAGTAACAATTGCCGGAAGTGAAAGAAAATACTTCATAAAAGTTGTTTCGTTGAAATAACATATAACCAATCTGTAAAGTCAATACTTTCACATCTTTTCTAAAGAAATAAATGTTTTATAGCTTTGAATTTCTTTGGACTTGACACAAAAATAGCCGTCAGGGAAAGTACAATAGCCTCAAATTTCACAGGCTGCCAGCTTTAAACCACATCATTGCCAATAAATGAACATTAATATATCCCATGGTATGTTATGTGTATGCAGTCTTAGTCTTTTCTATAAATATAAGGGCAATGGACTAACTTACTACTGATAGTGTCAAATCCTATCTTAAAGTAACTAAACACTTCTTCACACCAATTATGCCTCCATTTTCACAGTTAAACTGAGAAACATGTGGATGCAGAGATCTGATTATAATATCGTATCCCTAGAAAAATCTTGTATTCAGTCTTGATATAACAGAATTCTTTAAAGATGTCTTTTTTATGTCTCCAATTTTCTGAAAACTTAATCAACTGACATTTGCTAGTAACATTTTTTTTTTCATAGCTATTAGCATGTACAACAGGTACATATAGTGGAATAATTTCACAAAAAAGGAGCTTTAGGTTTATTAATGAAAAATCTCTTATTCTTGAAGAAGCGCTGAAATAAATCTGACCTGTTGACCTCACAAAAGTTATCTGTCTGAGAATCTTTACTGGTCCTCAATAAACTCAGTTCCCTGAAATTTAAAAATAACATTTATAATCTCCTCTTTTGACTGCATCATATTATAACATGCATGCAAAAGATATTGGGTTCAATGAGTTTTTTTTCTTTTTTAATTTGATATACAGGCAATTCAATAAGTAATTATGTGCTTTATCACCTTACACATATTGAAGAAACCAGAAAGATGACACATCAGGAAAGGCCCTGTTTGCACATTTTGGAACAAATACATCATACAGAGGAAAACAAAGCAATCCATGTTCATGGAGTATCCACTTTCTTTAAGGTTTGACATAAGGAAATATTTTAAGAAATGTTTTATGTAAATATTAAGTTTGTAAAAAACTGAGCACCTAAGATTGTTTTCTTGTCTATTTTGACAGCCACTTAAAAACATGTGACATACAGATAATTTTTGACATCGAAAATTGAATAGAAATAGCATATTTTACCTGTATACAAATTGTCATGGAAATACTAGCACAAAAAGACACTCTCCAAAATTTGTGAATTTTTAGGAAAAAATTAAGTTTAACCTGTAAATTTGACACCAGGAAAAAATTTGGAATAGCATATTAAAATTATACCTATATATATCAATTTTCTTAACAATACAACCACAGTCTGTCAAGGGTAATACTTATACAATTCATGTATATATACTGATAGATGTAAGTTATACTTATTTGCACAAGTTAATTTGTAAAACACATTTGACATTCCATTCTTAATTTTAATTTAAGATTTTTATTTTATTTTCAAGGTTTGATTAATATTCCCTCATGCCTTTCCAAAAATTTACTTACATGTACATGACATGTACATTGTCATTGTCCATGAGATTATACTTTTATGAATTGTAGAGACAACTATTAAAGACAGACAATTAAACACTCTATTAGAGCAATGTTGTCTAGAGAAATTCAAGAAAATTCAAGACTAGAGGCTCTCAAGAGCCTGTGTCGCTCACCTGTATTTACTGATGCTTTGGAAATCATGTAAAATAAGGTTAAAATCATAATTAATAGTATTAGATATTAGATATTATAATGATATCTAAGATAATAACAATTAAATGCTTCGCTGGGCGCAGCTTGATAAGACCGCAGAGGTCGAACCCTGAACAGTTGGGGCAAGTATGGACACAACATTCAAGCTTGATACAGCTCTGAATTTGGATTGTGATCAAATATTTGACACAGCATAGGTTTCTGACACAGAAAGAATGTGGTCTAAGAACTTGATTTTTTTTAATTTACCTATTATGGTCCAATGTCCAAAATCAAAATACATGGTTAGATTCAGCATATCAAAGAACCCCATATATTCAATTTTTGTTGAAATCAAACAACGTTTAATTTTGGCCCCCAACTTGGACAAACTTGAAAACTGGGCCCATAATCAAAAATCTAAACACATGTTTAGATTCAGCATATCAAAGAACCCCAAGAATTCAATTTTTGTTAAAATCAAACTAAGTTTAATTTTGGACCCTTTCAGGGGTTTCATTATTTTTTTAGACTGGAGGTACCTTTGAGATTATAGGGGGAACCAAACTTAAACGGCAAGGGGTCTGGGGGCCGCTTAAGGCCCCCAGTGGGTCCAGGGCTAGCCCTGGTAGGGGGATCAGGGGGGCAAAGCCCCCCGGAAGCTCATGGATTTTAGGGATTTCAGCCTTAATTTTTTGCTTAAAAAAATAGGGTAAAGTCTGTAATATTTGCTTCAATTTTGGGTAAGTTAACATTGAATAGTTTTTTTTCTAGACATGCTAGAGTAATCATCTGAAAATACATTGCTTATAATTATTTTGTAATCAGTTATAAAATATGTATGACCATGGAAGTATTATATTGTCAATATAATACTTCCATGGTATGACCTATAACGCAGGGGTTTCATGTGAAATGTTGTTTAAATGTTTTGTTTGTTTTTATACTTTTATTAAATGTTTTGCATTTGTTCAATTTTGTGAATGAAATTTCATAAGTTACATAGTATATTATTAAAAAAAATTGATAATAAAACTTGTTGTAACTTTTTTTTTATTGCTTTGTTATAATCATAACTGTGTCAATTGTTTGTGTAAGTAATTTAACAGTGTCATGCAAACAATTAAACAAAATAAACAATAAACATGCTCTCATGCAAAACAACAAACAAACGTTTTTGATATATGCTAAGTGTTGTGATGGTTGTTCTTGTCCGAAAAAAACAACATGTATTCAACTTTCACTTAACTTTAATATTCATAAAAAGGGGTGATTGTGAAATGGGGGGGGGGCAAATTAATCATAGGATTCTTGACTATAGTAAGTAAAAATTTTTCACTTCTTCTTAGCTGTCTTTTTTTTTAATTTTAGAAGTCTTAAATCTCGTCAGATGTTATATTTTGTAAACGTAACAGTTATGTTAGTTCAGATGGTAAAATGTTTCACGATGTCTTACACTAAAAAATTCAATCACAACATAGAACACATATCGTGAAAACGGAGATCAGTGACAACGTCCAACGGGAAACGAACTGATTTGATATGATTAACGATTTTTCTGAATTTCATAGAATGTTCACCTTTATTAAACCTTTTATTCATAAAATAATCTGTGATACAAGCTGCTTTCCTTTTATTAGACATAATATTGCTGTTGTTGTTTAAATTCATCAACAATTTGCCGCTTGAAAATATACTGCTAAATCGTCGCATTTTAAAGCACTCTTACGATACAGATACAGACACATGGTTTGTAATTATCACCTCTCCTACTTTGGAGGTGTGCCTAAATTGGCAGAAGATAGATCTATACTTTAACGCGGACCTCGACATACACATGAACGGCGTAGAACGGAGATTGTCAAGGAATGAAAGAAATTAGATTTGAACGATCTTCAAAAGAATTTTACACATTTTTTTTTTGTATTTTTATTTTTTCTGCCGGTACCAGACGCTTCCGTAGGCGGGTAAAAGTACCGGGTACCGGGTATTAATGAATGCACTGCCCTTTGGACCTTAATGTAGACCAATTTGAAAAACGGGACCCAAAATTAAAAATCTAAAAACACGGTTAGATTTGGCAATTCAAAGAACCCCAATAATTCAATTTTTGATCAAATCAAACAAAGTTTAATTTTGGACCCTTTTGACCTCAATATGAACCAATTTGATAGCGGGGTCCACAAATAAAAAATCTAAATACATGGTTAGATTCAGCATATCAAAGAACCCCATATATTCAATTTTTGTTGAAATCAAACAAAATTTAATTTTGGAACCCAATTTTGACCAACTTGAAAACTGGGCCAAAAATCTAAAATCTAAATACATGTTTAGATTCAGCATATCAAAGAACCCCATATATTCAATTTTTGTTGAAATCAAACAAAGTTTAATTTTGGACCCCAACTTGGACAAAGTTGAAAACTGGGCCCATAATCAAAATCTAAACACATGTTTAGATTCAGCATATCAAAGAACCCCAAAATTCAATTTTTGTTAAAATCAAACTAAGTTTAATTTTGGACCCTTTGGACCTTAATGTGGACCAATTTAAAAAACAGGACCCAAAATTAAAAATCTAAATACACGGTTAGATTTGGCATATCAAAGAACCCCAATAATTCAATTTTTGATGAAATCAAACGAAGTTTAATTTTGGACCCTTATGACCTCAATATGAACCAATTTGATAGCGGGGTCCACAAATAAAAAATCTAAATACATGGTTAGATTCAGCATATCAAAGAACCCCATATATTCAATTTTTGTTGAAATCAAACAAAGTTTAATTTTGGACCCCAATTTGGACCAACTTGAAAACTGGGCCAAAAATCAAAAATCTAAATACATGTTTAGATTCAGCATATCAAAGAACCCCATATATTCAATTTTTGTTAAAATCAAAGTTTAATTTTGGACCCTTTGGACCTTAATGTAGACCAATTTGAAAACTGGACCCAAAATTAAAAATCTAAATACACGGTTAGATTCGGCATAACAAATAAATAAATGTGATCAAAGATTTTACAAATCTAATGCGCCATACTGTGCAATTAAAGATTACTTCTTGAAATTTTTCAATATTTGAAATTTGAAAAAAAATAATATTTGAAGAATAATTCTTTTTTAATTTCTGAAATCTGAAATGAGAAAAAATTGACCCCTCACAATTTCTTTTTACCCCCCCCCCCCCCTTTTTTACCCCAAAAAATTCTTTCCCTCAAGATATGGTCATAATCTCAATTCAAATTTCCAATGGAGTTTGCAACCATAATTACCCATTTAAATTTACCATTGGACAAATTTTTTAAACTAGATACCCTAATAATGATTATGGCCAAGTATGGTTAAATTTGTCTCAGTAGTTTCAGAGAAGAAGATTTTTGTAAAAGATTACAAAAATTTACAAAACTAGAGGCTCTAAAGAGCCTGTGTCGCTCACCTTGGTCTATGTGCATATTAAACAAAGGACACAGATGGATTCATGACAAAATTGTGTTTTGGTGATGGTGATGTGTTTTGGTGATGGTGATGTATTTGTAGATCTTACTTTACTGAACATTCTTGCTCCTTACTATTATCTCTATCTATAATGAACTTGGCATGGTAGATACAGTGGAAATACTTTGTAAAAATTTACAAAATTTATGAAAATTGTAAAAAATTGACTATAAAGGGCAATAACTCCTTAAGGGGTCAATTGACAATTTTGGTCATGTTGCCTTATTTGTAGATCTAACTTTGCTGTACATTATTGCTGTTTACAGTTTATCTCTATCTATAATAATATTCAAGATAATAACCAAAAGCTGCAAAATTTTCTTAAAATTACCAATTCAGGGGCAGCAACCCAACAATGTGTTGCCTGATTGGTCTGAAAATTTCAGGGCAGATAGATCTTGACCTAATGAACAATTTTTCCCCTATGTCAGATTTGCTCTAAATGCTTTGGTTTCAGAGATATGAGCCAAAAACTGCATTTTACCCTATGTACTATTTTTTAGCCATGTCGGCCATCTTGGTTCGCGGGCGGGGTCATCGGACACATTTTTTAAACTAGATACCCTAATGATGATTGTGGACAAGTTTGGTTAAATTTGTCTTAGTAGTTTCAGAGGAGAAGATTTTTGTAAAAAATTACAAAAATTTACGAAAAATGGTTAAAAATAAACTATAAAGGGCAATAACTCCTTAAGGGGTCAACTGACAATTTTGGTCAAGTTGACTTATTTGTAGATCTTACTTTGCTGAACATTATTGCTGTTTACAGTTTATCTCTATCTATAATAATATTCAAGATGATAACCAAAAACGTCAAAATTTCCTTAAAATTACCAATTCAGGGGCAGCAACCCAACAACAGGTTGTCCAATTCATCTGAAAATTTCAGGGCAGATAGATCTTGACCTAATAAACAATTTTACCCCATGTCAGATTTGCTCTAAATGCTTTGGTTTCAGAGATATAAGCCAAAATCTACATTTTACCCCTATGTTCTATTTTTAGCCATGGCGGCCATCATTTTTTAAACTAGATACCCCAATGATGATTGTGGCCAAGTTTGGTCAAATTTGGCCCAGTAGTTTCAGAGGAGAAGATTTTTGTAAAAAGCTAACGACGACGACGACGGACGCCAAGTGATGAGAAAAGCTCCGGGCCAGGTGAGCCAAAAAAAGGATTTTTTTAAGGGCTGTTCCATAAAAATATACTTGGGACCCAGGGAAGGCACTTTGAAATCTCAACTATGGATGGGTGAAAAAGTCAATGGAAATGTAAGCAAAATTTGCCTCTATGGATGGATACCCCAATTTGAAAGTGCCTTCCCTAGGTACCATGTATGTTTAAATGGAACAACACTTATGGTATATGAGTAAAAAAAATCTGAATATATAAGGGAAATAACTCAACTTTAAAAATTATTTAATACCTGTACAAGTATATAAAAAATACTTGTAAAAGTATTACCCCTGACTGACAGTAAGATGTTTTTTTCAAAATTTGTGACAAGTTTACAAAACTACTTTTTTTCAACCAATTTTTTTCCAATTTCCCAAAAATAACTTTTTAACCATGGGAATCAATTTGGAATAGGTATTTAATCTTTAATTCAATTTCAATAAAGAACTAAGTCTATACTGCAAATTTGACACTGGGAAACAATTTGTAACAGTTTAAAATACCTATAAATCGATTTTCATTGCAATAATAGCACAGCAAGATGTTTCTCAATTTTTTTTAATTTTTAACAATACAGTGTTGACACAGAGATATGTCTTGCCTGTCAGCATAAACTTCAGAAAAAGACGATCTAATGGACAGCAGCAAGGTTTATTAATTCAGTCGCTGGACCATTATCTAGTTGGCAGGGCTTGAAAATAATCCTCAAACTGATATGTACTGATAGTAATGCAACTTCATACAAAATATCATTGAACTATCACAAGTAGATCCTATCAAACTAACTTAAGCACAAAACTTGACATTGAAAATTTCTAATTAATTCAGTCACTGGACCATAACGTAGGGGGCAGGGCCTCTAAATAGTCATCAAACTAAAATGAATTGATAGTATAGTCATGCAACTTCATACAAAATATCATTGATCTATCACAAGTAGATCCTTTCAAACTAACTACAGCAGAAAACTTAACATTGAAAATTGCTAATTAATTCAAAGTCACTGGACCATGACCTAGGGGAAAGGGCCTTGAAAAGTTGTCAATTGATATGTACATATAGTAATGCAACTTTATATTAAATATCAATGATCTATCAAAGTAGTTCCTTTCAAACTAACTTAAGCAGAAAACTTAACAATTGTTGGCGCCATCGTCGCCAGAAAAGTCCCTATCAGTCTTCTCCCCAGGATTTTTGGATAGCACCAGGGTAACGCGTGTGGACAGCTTGGTGAAATATTTCATACAATCAGTTGTGTCGCATCACGTCGCGTCGCTTAGCTCTATTTCTAGTTACTGTAGTTTTAATGTCTCTTGTTTTGTTTTAATACTGTGGTACTGTGTTATGTAGACATTGAGTCAGAAAATTATTTGTAAAAAAGAAGTAAATCAAAAAACAGTTTGTATACTTTAATGTTTTTTAAAAATAAATAAATTATGATTCATAATAAAATATTCATCTGAATTTAAAGTAATCAAATCTTTTATAAAATCCAAAATCAATAAAAATAAAATATCATTCAAAAGAGAACAAAAATGTTCAATTTAAAAAACTTTCTAGTTTCTAGAAAGAAAGTTGTTGTAAGTGAAAGGATTCCTGTCATAAGAAGATATAAAATTAACAAAAACAATTGCAAATATTGTTTTATTATTTGAACCAGTTTCTTTCTATCTTAGATTTTAATAAAAAGAAATTTTTCATAAATTTTAGAACATTTTGCCATAGATTTCATGTAAATATTAACCTTTCTTGTCTTTGGTGATAATCAAACATAGCTACAGACTTAATACTGCACTGAAATCTAAATCTTTATTTGTCAAGAACCATTTAAAAAGAATTCCTTAATCTATAAATTTATCTTTGGTCTATAGATCTATAAGTAACCATATTCAATGTCAACAACTAAGTCTCCCTATTTTCCCGCCTAAATGACAGGAAGTAGATATAAATAGATTTAACATGTGCTTATGGATAAAATTTGCAAGATTATTTGTTATTCATTAATTATGGATATAGATATCCAGTTTGAAGGTACAGTCATGCATTTTATTTATAAAATAGAACAGATTGCAATTAATTGTAAATAAACTTGAATATATTCTACGTGAACTAACTGGGTCATGTGATATGTACAGACAGATACTACAGTTTGGTACCTGACTATCATGCAATAACTATGTCATAATTAAAGATAACATTGGCCATGGTTTAATCAGAGACATATAATACTATTATATGAAAATTGAGAAATGTATAATTGTCAATTATACGTAATGAGCCACCTTTATGATGTACAAAAAATGTACCTATCGAGTCAAGACACAGTTTGTGTACAAAGTGTGCCGACTTGTCACAGGTCAGTGCTTGGTAGGTGAGTGAAGCCATAAAATTGTTATCTGTGATCATAAAGTTATGAACTCTTAATTGAAACACAAAAGAATCATGTTACAAGTGTTAATTACATCGATTAAATCCAATCAACAAGGTTAACCTCATAAGGTAAATCGATCACGTGGTGTAAACAATCTGTGTTGAACTGGTTTGAACTGGTCAAATTTCACCTGGAATTTTATACCGAATGGAAAAGATTTAACAAGTCGTTTAAAACTTTACCCATTTACAATTCTTTAACTGAAAATTTTAGCACCACGGAGAAAAATTATACATCGCGGTAAGAACGATACCACCACGGTATAAAATTATACATCGCGGGCCCGCAGTCCTTTAAGGGCCTGGGGAGAACACTGCCTATGTCTCGCCCTCGCAGGCAAGACAGAAACTAAGCTTTACTCGTATAATTTCTTTTTGCAAAAGGTTTTTGCTTAAAATTAATTCTGTCGTAAATTGTGCATGAAATAAAAAATGTTTTGGCAATAAAACTGTCAAATAATGGTTCCTGTCACATCCCCTTTGAGAGAAAACAGCAATTGTATTGTTTCTTTGTCTCCTTTATAACTAAAATTTATCTTAAAAATCTTTTCTTATTGATCTGACAAACTATCTTACTTTGATATGACAATTTCTGGAAGCATGCCTTCAAATGTTTTCTGTGGTTCATCGTTTACTTCAAAGTCTCCCTCGATTGGTATAACCTAAAAATTAGTAGTTTACAATGAATATTACTGAATTATTATGAAGAACATACTTTATCACACTGTTATTTATCTTCTATATTTAAATGTTTGGTAAAAGCCTTTTTCCATGTTTTACTCACTTTGATTTTAATTGTTTAGATGTCAAAATTTTAACTGAGGGTGATACATAGATATAAGAAGATGTGGTTTGAGTGCCAATGAGACAACTCTCCATCCAAGTCGCAATTTATAAAAGTAAACCATTATAGGTCAAAGTACAGTCTTCAACATGGAGCCTTGGCTCACATCGCACAGCAAGCTATAAAGGGCTCCAAAAATTACTAGTGTAAAACCATTCAAACGGGAAAACCAACAGTCTATCTCTTAATAATTAGTTTCTGTCCAAGTTTTGTAAAATTCTATGATGGTTTGACAAGTTATTAAAGTGCTAAAATCCTAAACCAGAATGTATCTAATGAAAATCCCCAAATCCTGACAATATGCACACCTTTGGTATATACACTAACATCCTACATAATATAATAGTTTTTGTTTGAAAACTGAAGGAGGCGTTAGCAGACAAACCATGTACTCTGTATGCATTATATTACTAAAATATTATAAAGTTCAACAACCCATCATTTTTCAAAAATATAAAGAAAAAAATCCTTATAACATGCATGCCTTTAGTATATGTACTAATCCCCTACAAAATGCATAAGTTCTACCTTGAAACTGTAGGAGTTAGCCAGACAAACCATATACCCCATGTAAGAAGGACAGACAGGGGTAAAACAATATGCCCGCTGACATTTTGTAGCGGGGGCATAATAAAATACTATGCAAGTCCATTCAATACTACTGGACTACCAATAAAATACAGATAAATGGGAAAAAAATAAAAATTTTTACTTAGCTGGTACATGTTGTATCTCTTAATTATGAAGAAGTCTCTGTTAAAATTTCCTGAAGTTTTAAATAAGGTAAGAGATGATTTTGAGCTTTCAAACATAAGGATTTAATTCTTACCAAAATATCATAAGATATTTACCTTCAAAGCAACAGATTGTCCACTGTTTTGTGTTCTGAACACTTCACCATAAACACCTTCTCCAACTTTCTTACAAATTTTCATCATGCTGGAAGAACAGAATAATTACATAAAAATATGTTGGTTAAACAAAGCTATAGATTAATCATCAAGACAGAGACAAGACATGCACTGAAAAATCACTGAAGTTAATTTTGTGTTTAGCTTTTTATAGGTTTAAAATATTTGTATGCCTTATAAGGAATTTTAATGTTGCAAATGATATATACTCATAAGCACTGTTTTGTGTTCTGAACACTTCACCATCAGAAAATTCTGCAGATTATCATTGTTTAAAATGATTCAGTGTCAGACTAGCAGAAATTAAAAATGTCAAAGTGACCTATATTTTTTGGATGCTGACCTACAGTCCACAGTGATTGATTGCTTGTTGCTTGCTTAACAACTAATGGTGAATATCTGATGCATTTCAATTACAATAACAAATAAATAATTAATAATAATACATGTTCTACAAAGTAGTTAACCAGGAAATTTGGACTGCTACTGTAAAATAAGAATACGTTGGAAAGAGGCAAAAATGTTGCCTATCAACTAGCCATGTTATGGACCCTATGATAGTTGCTGCAAGGGTCCTTAAACTCGTAGAGAGTGTAGCGTTCTTCCTACAGGGTGAATCGGATTTACCATCTCAATTTGACCAGATTGGATGCACAATTACATGTATAATTTTGACTGGATGTTGTTTGTTTTTATAAATATTTGCAAACATATTGAAGGTTTGACTCATCAAATTGGTTATAAGAACAAAGCAAATACCATAAACAAAAAGACAAAACACACTAAGACCACTTGCATTTGATTAAAGCTACCGGTAGTTAAAAGTCCAATTTCTTTAAAAAAACAATAATTTCCCAGACTTAAAATCAATAAGTGAATCTCCAACTACATTTGTAAATGTGATCATTGTCATGAATGTACATCTTAAATAAACAGTAGTCACCTAGGTGGTATACATGACTGGAAAGACATTGGTTCATCTTGTTGACAAATCTGAAACACTTTAGACATGGGAGACATCACAACTTTAGGCTGGTCTTTCTTTTTTACTGGTGTCAGCATCACCTATAAAATAAATCATTCATGTACATGTATGCAGTTATAATAGCATACATTATTTCCAAACAAGTCATCTTTTATATATATCTTGCTGATCCCCATTGTTGTTTAAAGGTTTGCATTGTTCCTGTTGTTGTGGAGAAATATAGTCAGGAAATTTATGAGAGTATTTGTCAGATTTTTTGGCCCCATATAGTATATAATTTGTTCATAGTACCCTGTAGCCGTTTTCTACAATGCACCGATGTAAAGGATAGACCTGTATCAAAGAATACCTCTCAAACTAAAGCTACACAGCCTACAGATTTACAGTGACATGTGATATTTTGCTCTGTGTTGGGAGGTTTCACTGTAACTTTTAGATGAAGAACAGTGATAAGCTTTGCTTTTGGTTTCGTCAATTTTGTCTTATTTTGTATTTCTTTCTACTCTAAGCATTTATATATTTTAAATTCTGTAAAAGAATTTTTCAGTGTACATTTGTTCTTGAAAACTGCTTGATTGACACATTTTTCATCATGTATGTCATGAAAAATATAAATGCTGTCAGGCAACACAATACCGTAAATTCTGAAATTATTGACTGCATTTATTATTTGATGGGCAAAAATGCAAGATGAAAATCTGCATACAGTTATATGTATTGGATATCGGAGTGCAAGTTATTATTAATTATTATTGCTATACTCACCAAGTCGCCTTATTTGCATTAATAAAAACCTCACAATAATTTCTGATTTACAGTAACTCGAATTTCAAATGTACACGTGATATATGTAGCCTTGACCATTACACATGTTACATTGATACAACTGCTTTTTAACAAAATAAAAAACCAAATAATATTCACAACCCTTACATAAACACAACCATGACAACAAAATTTCATTTAAACTAAATATTGGACAAATAGCATATATTTAACTATTCTCTAATTTTTGCTTCATATTTGGGTAATCGAACTGGTTCAAAATTGTGAAAAATATTTCAAAGATAAGACAAACATTGCCAAATGGGATTATCTCACTGAATATTTAAAAGTTGTTGTACATGTGGGAATGTCATTTCAAAATCCAAAATTGATGTTGAAAGGAACCAACAAAGTACAATTCTAATCAAATCCTTAAAAATTATATGATTATGATCCTTGGTCACCATGGAAGTGTGCATATATTTACAGAACTGTTTCAATATAAGTTTTATATAACAGCTGTTAACATTTCATGTTTCATATTCTATATTTAGACTATAGCCATATTTTGGGCATTTGCTACCCCTTGTCTTTTTTAAGTACAAGCAAATCATTAGATATTCTAGTTGCCCATATGAAAATTAACATTCTATATTGATTAACTTACAATCAGAGATTCATTCAGGGATTTCAAATTACCAATACTTTTATTTTGAAGAACAGGCGTAGCATTAGGTGTTTTTAACATTTTATAAGATGACGAAGACACACCATCCAAACTCTGTCGTCCAGAGGTATCTTGAGCTGTATGATAAGAGTGATCTGATGCAGTTGAATGAGCTGTATCATATTCTGAGAGACAACAGTCGTCATTTAGCATATATCGGGTAGAATTTCTGCTTTTACTGTTCTCGTTAGTATTATCGGTAGAACCATTTTCATCATTCTCCCTGGTGTTATCAGTAGAAGAGCTTTCTTCTTCATCATCATCATCTTCTTCATCTTCATCAATATCACTTAAATTCTCATTTTCTTCATTACTCTCTTCACTTTCTTCTTCCTCCTCCGGAAAATATTCAGAAACCTCTTCATTGATACTTTCATCTTTTTCATTTTTATCTTGCTCAATGTCGGATATATTACTGAAAAGACTTGCAGACTGATCAAAATTGCTACTGATTGAATATTTTCTCCCCCTGCGCCCTGATATATGCATTAATAAAAGACTAGTTCGTAATTTTTTTAACTGAATTTGACAATCAACCACAGGACTGATTTTATCATCTTTTTCAGATGTCACTTTCTCAGATTTTGAATTTCTAGCTGAGTGCACTAAAACCGGACTATCTATCATACTAGATATTCCTAATTCTGAGCAGGTGGACGGACTGTCCTCAATAGCATCTATATATGAAATATCAGTACAAGAATCTGTATCATCTTTTGAAAATGAGACATAAGACCTAGTCCGTTTAGCTAATGGTGTACTTGTTTCAATAATGTTTGAACTCTTAACATTTGTTTGATTACTTGAGCTATGATTTGGTTCTGGTTTATCCTTATTTGTTCCTTTTGGTGGTGAACCCGAAATACATAAACTATAATCATCAAATTCACTAAAATTACATGAAAAATTTGATTTTTGGACAACTGTTTTAGTAACTGCAGGTGATTTGGGTTGTCTTTTTCTTTTTCCTGTTACAGCATTACTTTTCTGATTACTCAGATTACTTCGATCTCTTAGGGCTCTTTTTGGTCTGTGAGTCTTGAATAAACTTTCATTTCCTGTACTCCCAGTACTATCCTGCAATAGGCACATCAATCAATACATGAATTTTTTTTACAATGTTTACCAATAGTAAATCTAGTAAATAACAATATACATTGTACAATAATGGTCAGCTGAGAAAGTGCATTCTCTTTGCCATATGAACATAACTTTTAAAAATTAAACTTGATGAAAAATTGAACACAATGGTATCAGGTCTGTTTGCACCCTATTTTTATTCAAATACCGATTGAATTATTAGATGTTTTTTAAATGTATAAATCAAATTATTTATATTTTCATTAATACCGGTAAATATTTTGGAATTTCAAAATGGATGTGTTAGGGGGAATTTGATTTGATGAAGACTGTATGGACCATCGGACAAACTAGTTGACGATTTTCCACCACGGTAGACTTTGAACTTTGATTACAATTGTGACTGTTATTTGAATTTAATACATTAATTCTTAAATAAACTGTTCATATTAGTGCATGTTAGATAGTATTGGTGTGTGAATGGTGTATAATGTGATATTTAAAGGTGATTTTTAAATATTAAGTGCTCTTTTAAATTTTATAAAGTAGTGACTCTATTAAAACATTTTAGTGCTGTTGTTTTAAATGATTTGAATGATTGTGTAAAGTTAAAGTGCATGAAGTAGGAAACCTGTTTATGTTTTTAGAATGTCACTTTCCTTTGAAACAATAAAAAAATCTTATTTATAGCAATACCATAACTAAAACATTATTCAAAAATTATTCAACACAAAACCAATAAAAAGGGTGCAAACGTGATTTTTGGCGAACCGACCCGGAATTGATCAAAATAATGAATTTTCTTCATTTGTTAAATCAATCTCTTGTAAATACAACCATGGTCTGTCCTTGGTCCATACATCGAGAAATTTACGTTCTCTAACCTCTTCATCGTATTTGTGTTTTGATATATGTCTGTTTTTAGTTAATGCCGGTATTTTAACTGGCTTTCCCGGTTGGGCACCTTTCACACTTCAAAAACAAGGCCATCATGCCATGATTGTCAACATTTAGATATTGACAAATCAAAGAAACCGATACAAAATGTATTTATCTTCAATACCAAAAGCGATAAGTTTAAGCGGCCTCATTATAAAGAGTAAAGGAGCAGTTCACCAGGATACCAGGTTAGCCCCATCTGTTAAAAACAACTGGATTTTTAGGTATGAGGACAGTGACAAAATACAAAGATAAGACGGACTGGTGATATGACAATATATACTAGTCCCCCGGGTAGAAATTTTTTACAAGCCAGTCGGACTAGTCACAACAGAATAATTAAAAGTCCCCAATAAAATTTACAAGCCATTTGTGTTGGACTTGTGGCTAAATTCGAAGACTGAATACATTTGTCTATTGGAATGTCTACTGAATAAAAAATACAAACATCATTTACATGTATTCATTTCATCCTTTGTATTTGCTGATGAAACATTTTACATTAAACTGATCATGCTGATAGCACAGTCAGCCATGGACCGCATCAACTTTCAGACATACAAACTGTTACCCCTGACCAGCAAAGTAAATTGTCATCTAACAACAGACACATAAATACCATTTCTGATCCATATCTCTTTCTTGGTAAAATTCTTCTTTTTTGTCTGGTATATCCATTTTCCTTATTTGAGCTTCAAAAAAGATAAAAAAAAAAAAAAATAGAAACCAATTTCCAAATGCATTTCAAATACTTTTATACAGAAAAAATAGATAGTAACTTGTACAGTCCTATGCACAGTGGTGTACAAATGTATACTGTTATATTTTTTAAAACTTATGGTGTATATATTCTTGACATGACTTCTATTTTGTGTACTACTGGTAAAATTGAGAATGGAAATAGGGAATGTGTCAAAGAGACAACAACCTGACCATAGAGCAGACAACAGCCGAAGGCCACCAATGGGTCTTCAATGCAGCGAGAAACTCCTGCACCCCGAGGTGTCCTTCAGCTGGCCCCTAAACAAATATGTATACTAGTTCAGTGATAATGGACGTCATAGTAAACTCCAAATTATACACAAGAAACTAAAATTAAAAATGATACAAGACTAACAAATGCCAGAGGCTCCTGACTTGGGTCAGACGCAAAAATGCGGCAGGGTTAAACATGTTTTTTGAGATCTCAACCCACCCCCTATACCTCTAGCCAATGTAGAAAAAACAAACGCACAGCAGTACGCACAGTAAAACTCAGTTTAAGAGAAGTCCGAGTCCGATGTCAGAATAGGAAACTAAAGAAAATAAACAAAATGACAATAATACATAAATAACAACAGACTACTAGCAGTTACTGACATGCCAGCTCCAGACCTCAATTAAACTGATTGAAAGATTATGTCTTCATCATATGAATATCAGGCACAATGTTTTCTCTTTTTTGACAACTGTAGACCACCTAAATTGTTTGCCTTAGTCACTCAGTATTTCCTGCCTATTAATTTAACAGTCATCTCAATGTGCCCTTGCGGTTTTCATTGTTCCCGTATTTTTTTAGTAAGATTGAGTATTAAGCTGCTTTTGGTGAAAACTTATTGTTATGTTGATATCTCATTGATCTTCACCATGTTTACAGCTTTTTAATTTAACCTGGTCATGTAGACATAACATAATAAATTATTTTGATATGAATAAAGCAATACCAAAAATTTTAGGAATTAATCTTTATCCCACTTGCAAAATTTTTCAGAAATGAAAATATTTGTTAAAACCTGAGATCTCACTGTAAAAATATGCATTTTGACCAAACTGAGAGATGTTCAACTAAAGGAGACAACGGATTATTGTAAATTCAGAAATTAATAAAATTGAGAATGGAAATGGGGAATGTGTCAAAGAGAATGAGAGACAACAACCCGACCATAGAGCAGACAACAGCCGAAGGCCACCAATTGGTCTTCAATGCAGCGAGAAACTCCCGCACCCGGAGGCGTCCTTCAGCTGGCCCCTAAACAAATATGTATACTAGTTCAGTGACAATGGACGTCATACTAAACTCCAAATTATACACAAGAAACTAAAATTAAAAATGATACAAGACTAACAAAGGCCAGAGGCTCTTGACTTTGGGACAGACGCAAAAATGCGGCAGGGTTAAACATGTTTTTTGAGATCTCAACCCTCCCCCTATACCTCTAGCCAATGTAGAAAAAACAAACGCACAGTAAAACTCAGTTTAAGAGAAGTCTGAGTCCAATGATAGAATAGGATACAAAAGAAAATAAACAAAATGACAATAATACATAAATAACAACAGACTACTAGCAGTTACTGACATGCCAGCTCCAGACCTCAATTAAACTGATTGAAAGATTATTCATGGATTTATTACATACATATTGCATATCCTTGACCTCTAGCAAAAGCGTAAAATCTAATTGATGTTATTGCAAAAACTTTAGGAAGGAAGACAGTCAAGGGTATAACTTAAATAAGTTATTAGAAAAAAATAACATACATGTCGTTATTGTGGGCTAAAATATAAAAAAACTGTGATAACATATGTAAGTTACATGTTTCAAAGTGGCAATATACATCCTTTGTTTTGTTATGTATTATACAAGTTCTATTGATATTATTATTGCCTCTATGTATACTAACTTTAGAAAGATAAAATAGTTCATAGTTTGCCAATCATGCATAGTACACCTATGTTATTACAGAAAAAATATGCCTGTAATAACTAAAGGGTGTTATTACAGCTTCTCTATATAACTTAAAAGCCTTTGCTCAGACATATATCATGCTTAATCACAATGTATTTTAATTTATTGTAAGAAATAATGATCAGAGCATGTAATGAGGTTCTGCGCAAGCTTCCAAGTAATTACCAAGTGTCTCATATAATACATGTAATAAGTTACATGCCTGTAATAACTAAGCCTTGTTATTACAGCTAAGTTTAATCGCTTGAAATCCTTGTCTCATTGATTTACCATGGTTGATTAAAAATGTATAAATTTAATTTGAAAATTAGTTATCAAGGCTATGTATTTAGTTACTGCACAAAGTTTCAATAATTCCCAATTTATTTTTTTTAAATATCCTACAAGAAATGAAGGTCTGACAACATGTCAGAGATAGTTATATATGCAAAAATTTTCATATAATCAGTATCTATATATCCTAGGGGCATAAGTCCTTTAGATGAATAGTTGCTAGACACAAAATATTGCACTCCTTCAAGAACTTGCTGAAATAAACTGATATAAATTTAAAATATAAAAAATCCCACAATAAATTAAGGTAAGAGAGAGTTTACAAATGCAATTTCCCCTACATATTAAACTTCAAAATGATATATTTCCTGTAAAAATATTTGATCTTCACCATGTTCATGAAGTTCACTGGTCAAGACATTTTTTATATAAACCTTAGAAATAAGTTTCATAAAATTCTAAAAAGTGATGTAAGCTGTCCGTACAGTGGAATGTTGAATTGAATAATAATTGATTATAAATCTTTTAAAATAATTTATCAGCACTGATTTTCTATTACCTGTCAGAGATATTTCTGATATACACCTTTGTTAAAAATTTAGACTGGAGAGAGTTCACAATGCAATTTTCCATAATTCATTTCATAGGGGCATAAAATACAATTTTCCATATATCCCGGTAATTCATATTTCCTAGGGCATATATAACTTCTTTTAAAAAAGTGGATCAGCACCAATTTTTGAAAAGAGGGACGAAAGATACCAGAGGGACAGTCAAACTCATAGATCGAAAACAAACTGACAACGCCATGGCCAAAAATAAAAAGACAAACAGACAAACAATAGTACAGATGACACAACATAGAAAACTAAAGACTAAGCAACACGAACCCCACCAAAAACTGGGGTGTATGAACTTGTCTGAGATATTGCTGATATAAACATTTCATAAAATCTGGAAAGAATTGTACCTGTGAGAGCTCTTACTACTGAAGGGAGGCCCAATATTCTTATGTCTTCAGCACTGTGTTGCTGCAGGGGACAACAAATATATGATAAAAGCAACACAGTTAATTTGTCATCATAAAATTTTTTAGACTGAAAACCTGTTAAAGCACAGGCCCCTTTGTCATGTTTGTGTGTGTTAAAACAGCAGACTGCAACAATACCTGTTCTTTTTAAAAACCCCGTCTTTTTTAATATCGTCTGATGTGTTGATACTAGAAGAGCTCAAACTAAACAAATGCTTCTGTTGTTCATCTCCTGATGATTCCCACAATTCTTTATCAACAGTAACCACTCTGCTCCCATGATGTCTACTGTACGTCTTTACTTTTCTTTCTCGTCCCATCTGAATCATTGATAAAACAAAATTAAAGCTACAATTAAAAATTAAAAAATGTATATATATTTAAAAAAAACAATACTTTAAATACATGTATGAAGACAGCATTTCTTTGTTTACATTGAAAAGGACGTAATACAGAATGTCCTATAAACCACAGGACCAGCAACATTTCCATAATTCAGTTACTTTTTAATCTATAGGCCCTTATTCCGGGAATTAAATTTTTGTTGCAATTTGGTAGAGAGTTATTTATATTGATCAGTCCAGTCATGGAATCATTAATGTAGGGTATCTCAAAAGATACTGATTGTTTTTAGATGATCAAGTTTTTTGTATTAAGGATTATCATGATTATTATAAAAATAGGATGCAAGGAATTATAGGCAACTGTACAGCCTTCAACAATGAGAAATGCACTCTTTCATTGTTTCAATATGGAAATTTTACAGAAAATCCACAGCCTTTCCTCTTGTTATGTAATCTTTATATATATAAACAAAATTAAAATTTGTATAAATGCTGATATTTAATATCATGAATATCCTGTATTACATAATCAAATTTCACTAAATTGTATAATGTCTTAGTCTATTATCCTATCTGTTTGGCCTTTTGATCATCAGGGATAATGGGGTTGTCCTTGAGTCTTGGCAATGATTGGCTTGAAAATGTTAATGAATTTCTTTTCCTTTATCATGTTTATTATTCTTTCGGTCTCAGTTGATGCATGAAGAGTTTGATCTTTGGCACAATTCCTAATATGCCGTCTCAGATATATCTTTGAGTATTCTGGCTGACAGATCTGTTGCTTGTGTAATTTGTAACTCTTTTCCTGAAATTTCCAGTTTGTCGAATCGAATGTAATTTTCCTTGAAGCCATTGCATGAGATTACGTATATTTTTTCTGCACAAGAAAAATAATATCATATTTTATGGTGAGTGTCATTCCATATTTAAAAACAAAATTAAACTGATAATCCACAGCCACTTGTTTGTCAAATTATGGCGTGAATGGGGGGTTTACTATCCACACTTGAACGAAAAATCACCTTGTGATTTTTCGTACAAGTGTGGATAGTAAACCCCCAATGACAGAAACAAGTGCCTGTGTGGTAATAATCATCTCCAAAATCTGAAATTCCAGGGTCAAAAGTTAACACGAAAGGAAGTACACGAAACCCCAGAAAATAGAAGAAGAGTCGTGATCGATGTGTTCAGTGTCGAATTCAATAAATTTAATTTTTTACTGTTATTTGTTTCCCACAATTTAATGTTTCCTTGTTACAATTTACATTGTTAAATCATAAATCTTTCCATTTTTCTGTAAAATTTCAAATTGTAAATATCAAATATGGCGCCCTATGCTTCAAACTCGATGTTACGTAGATTGTGATTGGCCAATATTTTCTATTATGAAAATCAACATCGGAGACTGAAGTTGTTTCCGAAATTCGTAAAACAATAATATTTTTTTTAAATATCTGTCTACAGGTATCTGTATGAATACGTTGTGGATACCAATACCGACTTTTATACAAGTGTATAAATTTTTAAATAAAATACAATTTTTTACAAGAAATAGTTATCCAAAAGTAACAACGATAAAACAAACTTAATCCAATTGATATTTTATAGTGTGTTTTTCTATGTTGTGATGTTATACTATTGTTTCAGAAATGGGGGAAGGTTTGGTACCATTGAAGACATTAAAACGTTTAATCCCGCTGCAAATGTTTGCACTTGTCATAAGTCAGGAATCTGATTACAGTAGTTGTCGTCTGTTTATGTAGTTCATACGTGTTTCTCGTTTCTCGTTTTTATATAGATTAGACCGTTGGTTATTGCAATTATAATGACACGCGCAAAACATAACTATACGAAATTCTATCAGAGAGTTTTGAAAAAAGAGCCAATTAAAGATGTTGTCCTTCGAGTCTTTTGGTGTCAACAAGAGTAAATAAGTAGCAACATCCTTAGCTCCAATTTCCGCTCTATAGATTCTGTAGCTTAACTGTGTACTCTCATTGAAAACTATAGACACTAAATCACCAGTGTAAATCTTACACATGCATTGATGAAGACCACATGTCTATTTTGCTTATACTTTGCTTACGGTAGCTGCCTCATTGGCATGTACCTAACGTCTAGCTTTAATCCTCACCGAAACGGATATTTTAAGCTAGCATATTTTACCAGGGATCCTCTATTACTGACATGAACGTTAAAGCATGGGGATTTTTTCCATCATGAGAATGGTCAATTGACATTAAGTTACTCTCAGCACTCTGTTCAAAGTACATATCGTAGTTTTTTTTTCGGAACTCTTGCGTTTGATACTCGTTCAATATGTTGTTGTCTATTGAATAAATATTTAAGCTATACATATTCCTCAGGGTTACCACATCTATCAGACGGAGTGCAAACACGAATCTCAGTAGTATATTTGAGATTCGTTAAAGTCGTCTATAAAGTAAGTTAATTTTGGTAGTTTTCAAGTTGACATATGTATGAGGACACATGTAACAGTAAATTTGGTCCGGTAGTAAAATTTGTCCGCCAGACTTTTTTTCCTAGTTAATCAAGTCCATGACCATTATTTTACTAGGAATTTAAGTCCCAGGACAAATTTTCCTGGGAAAATAAGTCCATAGCTAGTAAAATATGTTTGGCACTTATTTTCCTAGGAAAAATTGTCCTAAGACTTGTTTTTCTAGTAATTTTTATTATATTTTAAAAATTATCAAAAATAAAAAAAACAACATATTTTCTTAGTTTAGATTGGACAGTTTCATTAGTATTTCCTATTAAAATAACATGGCCGGACGTTATAACCTAGGCATGTAAATGACGTGGACATATGATGTCCTAGGAAAATTAGTCTGGGGATATAAATTTTATTAAAATATTAATACACAACTCTAAAACAATATTAAAACATAACATTTAAATTTAACTTTCAAAATAACGGGAATGGACGTTTTCACCTAGGAATATTAATGACATGGACATGATTTCCTAGGAAAATTAGTCTGGGGACATAAATTTTATTAAAATATTAATGCACAACTCTTAAACAATATTAAAACATAAAACTTGAATTTTCATTGTTAACATGTAAATAATTTGTTTCATTAAAATTTTCCTTTTAAAATAAATGGCATGGACGTTTTTACCTAGGAATATTAATGACATGGACATGATTTCCTAGGAAAATTAGTCTGGGGACAAACATTATATTAAAAAAATTGATACACAACTCTTAAACAATATTAAAACATAACATTTATATTTACCTTTTAAAATAAAGGGCATGGACGTTTTACCTAGGAATATTAATGACATGGACATGATTTCCTAGGAAAATTAGTCTGGGGACATGAATTTTATTAAAAATATAAATACACAACTCTTAAATAATATTAAAACTTAAAATTTAAATTTCCAATATTGTTAATATTTTTCCTATAAAAAAAAGGACATGGACGTTTTTACCTAGGAATATTAATGACATGGACTTGAATTCCTAGGAAAATTAGTCTGGGGACATAAATTACTAACATCGGACTAAAATACTAGTAAATTCTGTAACCATGGACTTTTTATACTAGTAATATGTGTCCGCCCGGACATATTTTACCAGGACAAATTTATCTCTTACACACACACATACAACTCTTTTGTAACATCGTTCAGTCAATTTTAATCTGTTCTAAAAATGAATGTTGGGAAAGGCAAAACACGCTTTTATGGAATCAAAACTTTGTACGATTGTTGGACCTTTTGTTCAACAGATAGTCGGCATTTCTATGGGAACCAACTGTGCCTTCTTCCTATCAAATTGTTCCGTTATCCGCACGAGTCAGATGCTTCTCAAGATTAATGAAATGTAGCAAGTATTGTTAAATAGCTTCAGGTTCCAACTACTAGTATATAGATTTTGCCCTCCCGCTTGATAATTCAAAGTTTGGTTACTATGCTGAACGCATCTATTCCACTGAACTAGAAATATCTAGATATTTACAATGAAGATCGATTTAGAACTACACTTTACTACACAAGAGATGACATTAATTTCCCCATCGCGACTTTTCAATTGCTATGTAGCAACATTCCATACACCTATATATAAAGAGTTAATTTCATTATAATTTAGTTGGTATAGAGAGTTGACGTTTACATGGCATCTATTGCACCAAGTGTTAATGATAAAGTTTAAGTCTTCTAGCTCTTCGAAAGTTTTATGAAGGCCATCATGTTTTTGTTAACCGTTACGGATTACTTGCAGGCCCAAGTGACAGATAACCACGGATATGGGCAGCAATCTCGTATGCCAGATTTTGACTTGTCATGTGCGCCTCAATGTGTGCTACTGAAGGAGCAGAGTCTGCTTACTCGTACGGAGCACCTGAGTTCACCCGTGTTTTAGTAGGGTTCGTGATAATCAAACCTTAGGTTTTAGTATACTGTTTCGTAGACTTTTGGTCGTTTTGTTTGTTTTTAATACATTTATGGTTTTTTATTGTCACCCTGTTTCTTCTTACTTTTCGTACTTATAATTCGTACAATCCATATGCATACACGGCTCATGTCTGTTCTCTTAAAGTTCACTGAAGTTGTCAAGTAAATCGCCAAAAATATAAACACAAGCATGTAAACAAGCGTAAAAGCAAAAACAAGAAAACATAATAATTATTTCATCAAATGTTAATGCTCTCGAAAAAAATATAATGTGTATTCAATCATATCCTTGACATCAATCTAATTCAAATATAGATCTCTGATTTCGTATGCTCATATCACGAGCATGCGAGTTGCGATAGACCTGAATTTTAATCTGGTTGTCCTTGATGTAAATATAAATATAGGTTTAATTGAAACTGTTAATGCTTCAGGCTACAAGTCCGAACATGTTTTTATATTATATATTATAATAAAAATAAGGAGATGAGGTATGATTGCCAATGAGACAACTATCAACCAAAGTTCAAATAAAGTGGATGTAAGCAATTATAGGCAACCATACGGCCTTCAACAATGAGAAAACCCATACCGTATAGTCGATTATGAAAGTCCCCGACATGAAAAATATGAAACAATTCAATTGAGAAAACTAATGGCCTAATTCATAACAAAACAATTAACGAAAAGCAAATATCATAGACATGAACCAACGACACCAACCACTGAACGACAGGCTCCTGACGACTAGACTATTTTTCCATCTTTAGAAACAAAATCAGTTTTTTTTTCTCATTTCTCATTTCCCTAGCAATTTTTTTCACAACAGTTTCACATGTTTCCTAAAATAGAGTTTGTCAGGTCCGAAACGAAACATTGGAATGTAAATGTTCATGCAGTCTTCTAATCATATATGGTTAAGCTTAATTTGCTTGTAGGAGTTATTGCTTTGATATTGTACAGTGATCTACAGTGTACAGTGCATGCACGTGTTATTCGTTTGTAATAGTAAATCGACAGCTTACAGAAATATGAATCACTCAAGTTGATCAATAAACATATTAAGTTTGTGATGTGTTTTGATTCAGTATAGTTTATGCTCTTTTATTGTATTAATTTACTATAACGAAGACTAAAATAAAATTCTAAAGTTATTTCCCTTTAAACGTTCGGACTTACATTCATTGGCCTAATATTGTCAATACATCCGACTAGCTGATCGACTGACAGTCCCCGAGGGTATCATCAGCTCAGTAGTCAGTGCTTCGGTACTGACATTATATATAACATACTTTTATTAGGTCATCCATTGATAAATTAGAATGTTTAGAAACTAAGGTTCCAACTCCTTCAGACAAAGTTGACCTTAGATAGATTTGGCTATTCTGTTTCGGTCTGTGTTGGTCAATTGTTCCTAACGTGTTTATGTATTTATCATTCCTGGATAGATTTGGCTATTCTGTTTCGGTCAGTGTTGGTCAATTGCCCCTAACGTGTTTATGTATTTATCGTTCCCGGATTTCAAAACTTTGGGTTTGAGCCTTCCTGATGATGTGCATCCAGAAAAAACTGCTTCAGAATGCTCGGGGCCCAGTGGCGTAGCTTGCCTTATGTTATTACCGAAGCAGGGGGTCGGGGGGGGGGGGGGGGGGGGGGGGCAGGCCCCCAGAATCTGTAGAGGTTTTGAAATTTGAACAAGAAGATTCTATTAAAAAATAGCAGTTGTTTTATTTTACTTCATCATAATAATGTTAATATGCCTTACACTAAGTTATACTACAGATTATTAGTTGATTACTGGTACCTACATCATTTTCAATATTCAGATAAATACATAAATGTTCTCAAAAACATTTACCACTTTTTTCAAATTGAATCCTTTCAGTGAACTTAACAGATTTTAATTCT